CTTTGTGGTAAGATAAGATTTAGCTGTTTAATTATAGCCAGAGTGAGCAGCCTGAGGCATGGCTAACTTAATATAAAACGTGTTTTTTGGCAAAATTCCCAGGAGCAAATGAAAAAATAGAATTTGGATTGGTTGCATGTTATATTTACTTGAATTTTTCTTGTTTTCAGGCTTCCATCTTCTGGCAATATGTCAGTGACATTATAATTAGGAGAAAATGTTTGGCACAGCATCTTAGCTCTCAGATTTAGAAAGTTTAACTGCTGCAAATGGAGGAACTAATGCAAATTATTGCTGGAACCACTAAGAAGAGCCAACATATCGGGTTATGTCTATAGTCTCAGTTTCCTTGAAATAAAAGTATATGTCACTCCAATTAACTGGCCATGGTTAAGGAGCTTGGTTCAGATATTAATGATTGAGTCATTTGGTTGCAATTTAATATTATGAGCAAGCAGAAACTAGTGACCACGTTGAAAGAAAAACAACATGCTAGTTGACTGACAAGTGGTGAAGTTTGCCACAGAGGACTTAAGTCTCCCTCAATATAAAAAGTCAGCAACTGTCTCATGCACCTTGTAGACTTACAGTGTTTTTGTCTATTTGAGATACATCTAAGAGGTAATATGATGTGAAAGTTCCATTTTAAAAATCTGGCAAGAGGTTAGGACTTTAAAAGTCACAAGTAGTGTACATGCATGCATGCATGCATTGCTTTGATTAAAAAGTTACTCGTGAAAAGCTGCTACATATGGAGAAGAATTAGTTTATTACTAAAAGTGGTTCCAAAGTGCTTGATGGTGTTGCATCGAGTGGAAAAAAAGCAGTTGTGAATCAAACAGAGCAGTGCCCTGGCTTTGTTCTATGACTTTCACTTTGACTCTTATCAGGCTGACACCTCTCTAAAGAGCTGACCATTTGACTTTTGAGGTGGTGACGGGGGGTATGGGTGATTTGAGGAAAAAATATCCCTCAGACTGGCTTTCAGGGAAAACAAATTCTTGCAAGGAAATACCTGAAGAAAAAAATTCCTACACTGACAAAAATATCTTTCAAGGCGTGTAAAGCTGGAAAAAAATTTTACACCTCTGTATTCCAGGAAAAAAATTCTATCACCAGAGGCCAAATCATTTGTACCCCTCTCAAAAGTCAAATGGTCAACCCCTAAGGTGTTAGGTATGTTCAGTTATGATCAGTTACAAGTGGAAACTCCCTTTTGGCTTAATTTGTGTGAAGCGTCATATTTTCTAAAAACATTGCTTAGCTTTTAGCTTAATGACCAGGTATTTTTAGTTAAGTGTCAGAGACTGATGTGAGTGCTAAGTGGCAAGTAAACACCCGACCTGGAAGTATTTCTAGTGCCAGCTTCCTACCCAGATGTTCTTAGTGTGGTAGTGAAGAATTAAAGTTGTGCAACAGCTAGTAGGGGTGGTTTATTAGCTGATAAATGATTATATTTGTCTCTTAACTGCAATTTTAATCTTCAAACTGAGTTTTCTGAATTGAAATTCGAAAGAACATAAACATCAGCAAACCCAAAAAATTGATAAATGTGCTGTCAGCTTTAAAGAGGTACAATTTGCATGAATAGAATAAAACCAGTGGTCTCCATGCTCGGTTTAAAAGTACAAAATTTATGTATTTGAGAAGGTTTTGGTCAGAAGGGTGTATAATTTCCTGGGTTGAGTGAAACAATGACCTATTTTGAGGCATTGTTCTTAGCTTTGCCCCACTGCCAAACAAAGGCAGATAGGTAAGCGCGCAAGAATGGTGCAAAAGTCTAGTACAATGAGAACAGTGCCTCAAAGTATGTCACCCAGAGCCAAGCCCAAAATGCAGCATCGCTTAAAGCAAGTTTAATTTCTATTTTTATTCCATCTTGTAACAAATTTTGGGTCATATGCACTTAACAACATATCTTATGTCTAGTTTGTGTAAGTAAATAAAGATGATATAAAATTTATATTTTAACCTATATTGAATAAGCAATAACTGAAATTTGTAGACTGCAACCAGTCTCTCTTTTTCTCCAGGGTTAGTGAGGGAGGTGCACGTGTGCGTAATTCTCCGTGAAACTGAAGGGCGTGGTCATGCAGTCGCACATCTTGCACGTTTCGCTCAGCAGACCATAAGAAAAAGAGAGACTGCTGGTAGTCTTTGAAAACTGAAGAGGGGGTAGGGTGAAGTCATAAATGAATGAAAATTGTGCATCATATGCCATTAACACAGCAATCAGGAATCATCAGCTTCTGGAATTTTGCACAGCTCTTAAAGTTTGAATACTGATAATAAATGTTAGCAAGATGTAGACTTATATTAATAGTTATTATAATATATGAAATTGATCTTTAAGTATTAACCGTGGGGATTTTGACCAATACAGTATTTATAAAAGGTTATGTAAATTATGCAAAAAAAAATGAATGTTTATCTTAGTAAAGAACAAAGACTTAATCAGCATGCAAATATATTTGTTTTAATGGATTGTCCACCAAGCAAAGAGCAGATAAAAAATATTGATTGACTGAGTCAGCACAGCAATGCTTACCATCTCTTAAGGTAATTCCCTAGAAAATGATGTGCTGTCCAGATTTTTTTCAAACCTGGCACAAATGTCAGACATACTAGGACATTCAAAAACTGCAAATTATAAAAAGATGGGGTCACTGTACTTGTTTTCGCCCTGTGTGCCCTTAATTTTAGGTGGTTTTTCCAACTTGTGCAAAATGTTCCATACTTAAACAACCGTCAAAAATCCTTTTTTTTGTAGCAAAAAGTGAGAATCTTACCAAAACCTTGAGCCCCTTTGTTTGCCGCCCAAAAAAGGGGTTACTGGTCTCGTAACAACAAAGGTACGGCTGCAAATGATCATTTTGCTCGAGGGCACTGGGGCGAGTTTCTAGACAAACACCTAGTTATCAAAACCGCCAGGATTAGACGACAAGTGAAAATAACCACCCCCTTTGAAGTTGCAATATTATGCGCACTAAGTGATGCGCAGTGCAAAACCAGGGAATTACCTAAAGGTTAACCAATGTACATCATGTACATGGCTAAATGAACCAGTGTGGCTCATGTTGAGCCAGTTGTTTTTATATAGTACTTATGAAACTAAACCTGGAAGGGAGCTCAATTTATAAACACGTTTAGTAATACTCAAATGGTGCAGTTGGTGGTCCTTTTGGAATGAGATTAGGTGTGGATTTTTTTCAGTGATGTCCTGAAACAGGGCATGGTTTGGTCAAGTTCGCAGCTGTTCGGGCCAGACTCGCGCAAAAAATTTAAGCAGAGATTCGCCTGTAGCATAGGAGTCTAAAAACGCAAACTAAAGCAGCCACCACATTATGTAGCTTAGAGCATGTATCAGATAGTTCAATTGCTCGAATTCTGCAAGGAGTTGTAATTGTTGACTCGACACACCGAAAACGAGGCTTAGTTGATCCCAAATTGATAGAAATCGATATCAGTCTACCCTGTAATCTAAGGCAAGAGAGATCTCTCAAAACAGGTCTAGTTTAGTGTAATTATCAGTAGCGTTAGTATTTTTACTGAAGAAACTTTTGTAGATAAAACTACATGGTGTGTTTATTTTCACGTCCTCCAAATTAAACAACGTCGCATAAAAAAATTTCGCGTCGTGGTCGTGCACGGCAAAGAAATGTACCAAAAAGCGCGCTACGTGTGCAAAATTTGTCGTTTAACTTTTAAAACCTTTTGCGTTTTGACGCGGTTGTTCTCGTTGCTGTCGCCGTCGTCCGCCACCCGATGTGTGTAAACTGTTGGCAATCCGAAAGCGTTTTTTTGTATGAAGACTCTATGAGCGCCTACGAAATGATCCGATCGAATACCTTCAATAAAATAAGACCGGAATCTTGAATCCGAAATATTTATGAATCCGCTAGTGTAACTGTAGCGCCTACTCGAACAATCCACTGGTATCCCAGACTTTTTTGTGCAAATGTGCGATTCTTTTACCGTTATTTGCCACGTTGAATCTTGCCCTACTTCGTCTGGTGCGAAGAGAGGCCGAAGTGAAAACAACGCGTTTACGCTGTAAAACCATCCAGCATTGCTATTTGCTCCTTTCCCGCTGTTTCTCTAAATATATACCATTGAAGATTCGGTACACCACCAATGAATCACGTCTCTTTCCTGGGAACCGACATTCGGGAGTAAAAAGAAAAATCAAACATTCCGTTGTGAAATGAATTGAGCCCAACTGTGCTTTTAAAATAATTAATTAGATTCATCTATTTTATCCTTTGTATCTTTTTTTTTTCATGATTCACTTTTGTATCTCATTAGTTTATTATTTTTTTACTCTCGACTTTTTCAGGTACGCGCGTGCGTACCGTGCGCACAGGTAGCTACGCCCCTGACAAGTGAACAGAAAAATGTAGAGAAGCTGCTGATGGAAGTCCTGTTACTTTGGACTGAGAATAAGCATTTAATTACAAACCTGACTTACATTCCTGGTAGATTGTCCTTGAAAACTGTTGAATGAGATCCTTGTAAAGACATTGAAAAGTCTTTAAAAGATGGTTGCATTTTTTTTTCTGGACCCTGAATTCAATCGATATAATCCGCCCAACTGTTATTACAATTTTACGATAGCTTGGTTATTACAATTCTCGACAGGTGCCGGACAATTCAACACATTATTACAATTCACGACAGAACAAACTTTTATGGGCCTGACTAAGCTTTCGACGGTTGTGCCATGGCTAAGCCAACCAGATTTCGTATGAGCAATTATTTACTAGGCTTAAATCATTAGAACATATTCTCTGAGGTAACGTTTATGGGCGTGATTGAACTTTCGACGGTTTTACTAAGGTAAAACAAAGGACACATGGTTCGCCCCCTGGGTTCGCTTAGCTTGCCACCAGCTTTCATGTTAGCAATTATTTAAAAGCGCTATGAGCAAAAGCCTTACACCATAAGGTGTATCATCATTAGTAGTCAGCATCCACGCGGCACCTACTTGAGCTTGGGGCAGGATGCGGTCCTTACCTAGATTAATATTTGCGGGGATATTGATTCAGTTATCGATTCCTAAATCAGCTTCTACTGGATGGATGCAAACCACTGTGCAGTTCCTGACAAAGCTAAATGATGTAGCTCGGTTAGAAACGCAGTGCAGCTCGTCCTCAAAGGAAGAAAAATTCGATTGCTTCATGGAGAAACTCACAGAAGACCTTCCCATCTTTGAAGAATTTTTAACCCAGACCAACCTAAAAGAAACAGAGCAAACTGATTTCTCGGGCCTGAAGCAGCTCTATACTGCATTTGCTGACTTTACAGGAAACCGGAAGGGATGGTCTAAGTTTGGAGAGCAAAAACCTGAATATCAACTGGCAAGCAGCCGTGTCAAAAAAGATCTTATAGATTGTTCACATCTTCGAAATTTATACGAACAAACCTTTAGACCTCTTGTGGCAAGGCTGCAAAGAGATATCGATGTCCGCGAAGAATATCCAAATAATGATCGCTCGTACAACATGTTTTTTGATATTAAAGGAGCATGCAATCAAATTGAAGTGCAGCCTCGAAACGTACCAACACTGTCAGTCAAAGATGTTTGTCCAACCCGATATAATTGCGCACCGTCTATCTTTAATTCAAGTGATAATGCTTGCGGCCAAAACAAATCGGAATGTGACATCAACAAAGCCATTCCACTTATGATTGGCGTATTCTTCTATAAAGTCAGCTTTGCGGTCTTAAATAGATTTTGCAGGGAAAACTGTACTGATGGTGGCTGCAAATTGACGAGAGAAGACTTCTCCAGCATTGCCAAGCAGGTGGAGTTGATGAAAACGTTTAGAAGTTTGCCCCCAGAAGACCCGTTCGCGTCCAATCAATTTTTTCAAACAGCTATTTCAAAGAAGGCCTACTACGAAATAGCGGCTGCCATGGAGATCATAGGCAAAAACGAGCAGCATTTCAAAAAAATTGAACTGAATATTGCCAGCTTCGCTTGTGAAGAAAATATATCTCAGCCCGCTTGTCACGTGGCAAGAGTATATCCACATTATCTGCTGTTGAAGAAGATGAAGGAAAAAAGGCTTGATCCGGGACACACTGGGGATACAAGGGATCTAACTCTTTATCAGAATGTAGACCATGCTAAAATAATTGAACTAAAAAAAGAAACTATTAAACATAACGAGGTGCTGTCCGCCGTTAACCAGCTTAATAAAAACCTGGAAACACAAGTCCGAGGAATTGCTTCTTATTTTAAAGGAGTTGCTAGCTTCGATCAAGATATAGCAGACGCGGATGTGATATTCATAAGAGACAAACTTGAAGATTTTGATGGGGAGTATAAAAGACTTAAGAGAAAGGTGAACAGTGATATGAGGGACATCAAGAATCTCACGCTGGCCCTTGCGATTGCTGAGCTGGTGGAGAATACAGTAGCTCTCGTAGCAAAAATGGCAGAAGAGTCAAACCCCATAGCCGCGATATTCACTGGTGTAGACTCCAAGGGTATACGTGACGCAGCAAAAGATGTTGCCAACGCAGCAGCAAACGTGAGGACAGCGGAAGCACTTGCTTCAGCCATGGAAGGACTCGCGAATGATACCGAAGAGATTGGAACTTGCTTGCATAACAATCAAAACTAAATAAAGTCTATGAAATCCCTCGTGGATAAAATAAAGAAAAGCGAGGCAGATGACATTGGTGAGGACGCAGAGACATTTATTACAGAATACTCTAATTATACACCAAAAGTGGCTGGACATCGCATGGCCCAGAACATTGCTAAGTGGGGGGCTTTCAAAGGTTCCTTCTGTGATCTGATAAATGGGGCTGAAGGGGTTGTGGCGTCTGGTGCAAAAGCTGCAATAGCTAATGGTATCTTATATTGTGAAAATTTGGAAGCATCAATCGCCGAGTTTGGTGCTCTCAGAGAAAACATTTTTGACTTTCAATTTGAAATGGTGGACAGTCTTGCTAGGGTTATGAGAGGCAACGTAGCCAAAAAGTTAGCTGACTCCATTCAAGGGCAAGAAGACGACATTTTTAAGGCTGATCAGCTGTTGGGCGGATTTCTGATGTCACAACAATTTATGCAGTCCCATGCTTGGCTATATTGCGACAAACTTGAGTATAAAAATGAGGGACAAAGGGTTCAGGCATGCTCGCCAAGAACTGGTCTTTTCACAAACCATGACCTGGACAATCTTGTGGCTTTCAAAACTGAGTATCAAACCCAAATGTCGGTAGTGCGCACAGTTCACATCCCAACAAAACCTCAGTACGAAGGAGATTTGGGTTTTATCAACATCCAACGGTTTGCAAGAGAAAAGAAGGCTTCCTTTAGACTACCACGAAACATAACCTGGTTGTACAAATTCGACTGGAGCTTGATTGGTGAATCACAAGCCCCATACGTCGAGAACTTTCAACTGTTTTTACCAAGCAGAGAGTACAACACTGGCTCAGGGAAGAAAAAGAGGTCAACTCGCATAGTAGTTACCGCTGATACGCAGGCAGGCAGCTACTTCTCTACAAATGTGAATTCATCTGTGTTATACAAGTTACCAGAGATGCAAACGTCATATGTAACAGTCTACCAAGAAGGCTATCGAAGTTCAACATGCCCACAGGAAATTCCCAACCCATACAGCCTTTGCAACAACCTCCCCAACATATGCCTCACCTCCACCAACGAAGCAGGCGATAGTCTTCTACCCACAACGCTATCCACATGGAAGGTGACGTACAGTGTTCACTGGGGAGAAGAGGTAGTAAAATGGTTGGCTCCAACCAACGTTACGACTAACCTAAACCTAATCGCGAAAATAAAGCTTCGAATGCCGAAGATGTCGGCAAATCCACTGACGGAAATCGCGAATGACCAACCAGATTTGACAGATTTATGTTGCGATGACAACACCTACCGCGCTTCGTTGGTTGACAGCGTGTGCACGGATTGTCCAACTGGATCCAAGTCAAAGCTTGGAGGATACTACTGTGAAACCAAACCTTCCACAGAAGAAAAGAAAAGAGGAAAGAAAAAGGGAAAGAATAAAAGAAAAAAGAAGAAAAACAGAAAAAACAAAGAGCGTTGACCCAAGCGTAAACCTAGTGGCGAATGCACACTAAAGAGGATACCGGCCCATAACAGAAAATGTTACGTAATAGGACAAATGGAGTAGCTTGTATATTTCAATCGTTTTAAATGGCATTTAACCGAAAGGGAAAAATCATGCTGAACCTTATTCATTATATTATTTACTAGCTTGCTCTTGATATAATATCCTAATCAGCGTTGTTATTTTGCCCAGCTACATGTATGTAAGAAACTATGATGGTACTTGTGATACATGTAAAAGGAGAGCCTCTTTACAAAGGACGCTTGTACATTATTCTACCGTTTTGTGAGTTGGTTACCATGATACAAATTGCATTGAAGGCTTCCAGGTTACTCTTACAAGCTTAATAAACGACTGTTTGTTTGATTTCTGTCTGTATCCTTGCTTATTCCGGGCCCGTGATTGGTTGAGGTCAAAACCAAAACAAAACAAACTTGGCCGTGAGATACTGGAAATGAGTAGAAGGTGAAAAATTTTTTTGATGGCAGCCATTTGCGTGGCCAGCATTGCAGCCGGCCCAAGTACTCGTTTAAACTATTTGTATACAGAAGGCTTAGAGCGTCTGTGATGCAGGCAACCATTTGCGGCAATCGGCCGAAAGAAAATTCAGTAATAAATATAGCCTGCGTGGCAGACTCTCTAAACCCTCTGTATAAAGCGTGTACAGGAGCCCATCCCTCTCGGATGATGGGCTCCTGGCGTGTGTGAAGTAGTTTTTGATTGGCGTTTTTAATTGGCTAGTATCTTACTCAGTTTGTGATTAGTCCGATTTGAAATCGAGCGTTGACAGGCCAAATACGAATCATAGCTCGTGACAAGAGAGAATGAGCTAGCCTGTGTACAGACTCCCCCTCCCTCTCGGGGTCTGTTCACAGGCTAAGAATGAGCTCGTGATAGTGTGAAACGTGACCTTTGAGCGGCAGCTTGAACAACTGAGGTTTTTCTTTCTTCTTCTCTCATTGTGTAGATTATGCAATATATAGGCCTCATTTACACGGCGGCCATATTGTCCCGAGAGACTGGAAAAGCTTTGTTCCCACGAAGACGGCAAAGTGTATAAACGCAGTGATTAAAATGTGTCGGTTCATTCACTAAGCCCTGGAATCTCAACAACACTAGTATACATGTCACTTATGTAATCTTACGTGTCATAAATGCAGTCTTCACGAACTACGGAATACTAGGCCGTGTTATCTGAATTTTAACTCCAATAAAAAACAAAAAATTTACAATTACTTCGTTTTCTTTCCGCCTTCTTTATGCCCGTTCTCGATCTCTCGTAAAGCCTTACGATAAGACCAATACTCACTTTTTATCATCTAACTTCGTTTCGTCTCCAAGAGTAATTAATTATACTGTCGATGGAGTGTTTCCCAAGATATGCTTGAATCCCACACTGTGTAGAGATGATGACATTCTGTTCCCTATAAGAAGTGGGCTCTGTAAAAAATTTGCCCTGCGTTTTTTGACACCTTTTTTGAATCTGTTGCAGATGGATCACGGTTGAAAAAGCAGGGAAGTCGTGGAGACAGCAACCATAACCATAGAATAGATGCGAAGCGGGGACTGCTTGATACCAAACCGTTATTTTCCACCCAAGTTTTGACGCAACGCTTGTTAGACTGCCTATGGCGCCAGTAACTGCTGACGCATATTGTGTCAGAATTGTAATTTCAAGTCTAAGTGACGGCCGTAGTAGAGACCCTTCCACGGTTTCTTCAACTTTTGACATGGACCAGTTATGGAAAATCCGTCGACACCAATGGAAAGAGCGCCTTAAAATTAGTACGAACTACAAAGTTTGACAGTGATTTGTTTAAAACTAACGAAGATATAGCTCCTCAAAGACGCAAAATATTATAGACTTTTGTATGGGGGGCAGCCCGTTATACTAAACGGTTGTGACTTGACGGAAAAAAATAGCCAGTGTGGCTTTCTTACCCTCGTTTATTCCCTGTTTCCCCTCCTTGCACAGGCTACGGAACATACCGTAAAATTCCGACAATAAGCCCCGGGGCTTATATTTTTCAAAGGCCCTTTTTGAGGGGCTTATTCAGTGGAGGGGCTTCTACGGAGGGGCTTATCTACAGAGGGAAATTTGCGTTTCAAAATCGATTGGACTAGCCTTATAGTTGGAAGTAAAATTTACCGTTTTTGCTTTGTTTTACTTTGCATTTGAGGAAAATTTTCCAATTAAAAGCCCCCGGGGGGGCTTATATTTGGTGGGGCGATTTTGCGTTATCGGTTTTGGAGAGGTTCAGTGTAGGTAGATTATACGAGGATGGTTGCCTAGTCCCTGTACGGCGTTTTCCCAGTCCCTCTTGGTCAATTCGTTTCGATGACGTATCTGAGGCGAACGGGCGGGAACATTTTCGCATGGAGCACGTAACCCCAAACGCTTTGGCTGCGAGGTAAAATGAGGCCTAGGGACTAGGCAACGAGGATGGGATACCTGTGGTGCGTCAGCTGAGAAAAAACGATTTAGCTGGTCAGTGGTTACCCGCCCAACTCTAAGGCCGCAATGACATCATGGTCAATAGAAAATTGTAAAGCCTGTACGTACATTGCGGATTTCTTAATCGACGAAGACGTTTCAGCGGAATTTTATGTTACCAACAATTGCCGTAGCACTATAATGCCATTATTTTCTAGTTCTTCACCCTTTGACCAAGATGTTGGTAAGTTGAAGTCTACTTCCTTCTCTTCGCTGTTCGATAAACAAAGTGAATGACTTTCGTGCCTTTTTCTTGTTCACAGAGAAAGCGACAAGTGAACTCAACACAACGGAAGACTGGCAGCTTATTATGGAATTATGTGATCGTATTCCTCGGACACCATCTGGGTTTGTAGACTAAGTATTGAAAATTTAAATAAGTTGTCGTTCCTCGAATCATGTTGTAAATCGCCTTTATATTTTACGCTGAAATTTATCCTCAATGTATTCCTCATCAGCTTCTTTATATTGTTGCGAATTGTTAAAGTTGGACTTGAGCTAAGAAATTGTTAACTTCTGAATCTTTAACTTGACATTTCCGTGACACTTCGCCGTAAATTATCCTAACAGTTGAATTTTGGCACAGCTTTGTGCATTGAACTAAAAAGATGACGTAGCTTTAAAGGATTGACCTTCATGCTACGCAGTTTTCAGTTATTTGGACATGTCAGCTGTAATTGATAATCAATCTACTGTTATTGATTTTCCTTTTGTCGACAGAAAGTGATAAATTGGTGTAAGCTTAATATTTTGATCCTTCTGTGTAATAATAATAATTTGTTTTAAGCTTGTTTGTGCATTTTTCTGTAATTTGTTTGTAACTTGCTTCCTAACAATATGACTGTCATGAGTTGACAGTTTCTCATTATCCAAAATAATATTTATTTCTAGTATTTGCGAGTAATGATTGTGAGCCCTGAATTCCTAAGCTTTCTTTGCTACATAAATGTAGCAAGCCCTCCAAGTTCTAGAAAAAGCATACTCTTCTACTCTTCTCAGATTTTCAGAGTCAAACCAACCACAATGCTTGATCCTTGTGATTGTGATTAACTTATTCTTAATCTATGTTTGGTTGCATCTGATACATGTGTGGTTCCAGAATTATTCTATAGTTATTATGGTGGAGGTATGGTCAAAATGAAATTCAGATTAAATGGGAGTCAACCCAGGTTGATTTTGCCTTTCCTTTGTTTCCTAGCCCTTATTATAACTATTATGCACATGTCATCTGCTTGCCCCAGAGGCAGACCCCCGCGCCAGTCAGGGGAATATGTTGGGGAATACGGTGGGATAGACTGGATTCTCTACCCCTGGGAAGGGAAAAATTCACGACATTGTTTTAGTTCAAGAGAAGAGGGTGGGCGAATTGCAAATTTTGTAAAATCTTGGATGGTAACCATGGGAATATCATGAGGATTTATCGCAAAAAGGGTTTTATAAAAGGGGAAGCAACTAACTCGGTGAGAGAAATTTTTTAACAAAGCAAACGAGACCTTGAACCAGGCTACCCTTTGAAGCTCGTTCAAGAATTAATACTGACTGAAGTTAAGTTCACCAACAGAATTGATGCTCTTCGCAACAAAACAAAACAAACAAAAGAGATTTTACTGTTTGTTACTACCTACAATTTCTACAATCCAGGCACACCGAATCTCAAAAAGATTCTCATGAAACACTGGGACATCATGCATTCAACAGCAACCTAAGCTTAAACATATCTTAAACCAGCCACTGATTGTCTCCTACAGGAAGGGAAAATCTCTCCAAGACATTCTAGTCTGCGCGAAAATTCCTCAAATCTCGCAACAATCACAAAGTCAACAAAGCCATTAAAAGCAAACTAGGACTTGCAAATTGCATACTATCACCTTAACTGGCTTTTAAAAATGGCAATCACGCATCCATTCCTTTTATTAAAAAACAACCAGGTCAATATATTTTCAGATCTCTTATGTGTTGTAAACCTATCACTGATCATTCTTATTATGAATGCAGAAGCTGAGGACTCATAGACTTTATTTAAAAATTCATACATAGATGAAAAGCAATGGATAAAGTTGTAATGTTTGAGCATCATGAGGTAGATTATTTCAGATCATCTTAAGTAGTCTGTGGAAAAACTATCAGTCTCTCCTAACCTTGGTCTTCAGGGGTTCTTTCATTGTAGTGATTTTTTTTTCAATAAAGATATAATATTGCTTTTCCAAGCCTAACACAATTGAGTAAAATTTCATCCCCAAATATCATAAAAATGCCCCCCTGCGTCAGGTGAATCCCAGTTATATGAGGTGGATATCAGGGGGATTTTTCGTTGAGAAGCACTTGACCCAGGGGACTTTGTCTTATTAAATTCTCCCACCCAGGGGGAAATCCTCAACTTTGCTCCTTCCATTTTACAATCCCCCCTGGTTGGCCCATGGGTCTATCCCCGGGGTAAGCCAATGACATGTGCATTAGGACTAGTAGACAAAGGAAATGTAGAATGAACCAAGGTTAAAACGCTATTAAGCCAAACTTCATTTTGATCTTCAACATATTTGTACCCTCCTGTGGATGGTCAGTGGGCATTCTAAGGGGTTAGAAAGGTCCGGAGATGTTAATATCCAGGGGAACGTGGATTGAACATATCTGACTTTTTTCTAGAATGGCTAGCATCAGATTCAGGGGGAGCAAGCGGTTGTGCAGTTGTGAGAGCACACACCCGCCACCAAGAGTTCATGTCTAATGTGAAAAGTTGAACGTCTGGGATTTTAACTGGGCTACACAGCATGCAAAGAAAGTCATGTCCGATAGCCCGGGGCTAGAGGATTTTGCTATCGGGCTAGTGATTTTTGTTCTTAACTTGCCCAATGGGCAAGTGAAGTTTTTTGGGGAAATTCAAATTACAGAAGGATTGTAATCAATCCTGCTAATCAGAGAGGGTTTTGCAGGGCTTCTGATATTTCGCGGCAAAAAAAGCAAAATTTCGCGGGATTTTCAGGGGCAAATTCGCGGAAAAATCAACCGATTTCGCGGGATTTTCGCGGGAAAAAAGTCAAAATTCGCTGAAAAATCGGCCGATTTCCGGGATTTTCGCGGGAAAAAAGTCAAAAGTCGCGGAAAAATCGGCCGATTTCGCGGGATTTTAGCGCAAAAAAGTCAAATTTCGAAGGATTTTCAGGGGCAAAGTCTTAGAAAAATCGGCTGATTTCACGGGAAATTTCGGGGGAAAACTTCGCCAAGAAACAATCAGTAAAAAACAGCCGATTTCGCTGGATTTTGGGTGGAAATTTCGCTAAAATCGATCAATTTTGTGTCGATATGACCAGCGTTGTTTAACTTTTTTTTAACATGGACAAACATTTGTTCTTTCAACGACAGTTCGCTCGAGAAATGAGCGAATGCTAAAGCTATTAACATTATGGTTAGTGCCCAGTTTTTCGCAACGTTCATCTAAAAACGCCTGGTAGTTTTGGAACGTTGTTTACGTGTTGCAGTGACGAAGTTTCAAGATAAATTTGGACGTTTGGGGTGAATAAAACAGGTCTAATAGCCAAGATAAGTATTAAATATGTTTTGTCGACATATATTTGGAAATATTTCTGGCGGATTTCGCGGTGTTTCGCGGAAATACCTGAATTTCGCGGGTCCGCGACCACGCGAAATATCAGAAGCCCTGGTTTTGGGACTAGTTGAAATGACTTGTGGGTGGGCTAGTACATGCTAGCTACAGCTTGCCCGAATGAGAGGCCGTAAAACTGACTTTCTTTGCACCCTGCTACATGTAGTTCTTACTCTTTCCTGGAGCAGGCTTATTTTGATTTTAGCGTCATAAAAATTTAAGGGAGGGTAACCATGATACAGTAGGTTAGTGCATCTTTAACCCTCACATTGATTTTGTATCTTTTTGTGTGTTTAGGCCCAAGGATGCACTGCGGTCAATAATGAAAAGGATTAACCATAGAGTTCCTCATGTTGCCATTCAGGCGCTTACTGTAAGTCAGACACTAAAATGAAATTTAAACGGAAACCATCAGGAAATTGAGTAATATTAATTTTCAGTGGACAAAACCCTTGTACCAGATGAAACTGTGTCACATTCTCTTTTACACTTGTCAAGGGCTTTATTATAATAACACCAAAGACAATTTCGTATTTGAGCCTAAGAAAATGAATTTCAAATTTCACAGGAATTGAAAAAACACAGATAAAATGTCATGCATCGGTATTTCCCCAGCTCCCACAAGACATTTTCTTTGGTCTTTTCACAGATAACTAAATATATCTGTAGCCCTATCTAGAAAACTGTAAAAAAGAGTGCAATATGCCGTAAGTTATTCTGGTACAGAGTACACATTGTATTTGTCCACTGAAAATTAAGTTTATTCAATTTCTTGGTGGATTTTGTCTCAAACCTTTGTTTCCAAAGATAGAGTGTCAAGAACTTGAAAATAAGCACCCATAATAATCAGCATTCAAGTAACTTTTCATTGTTTCATATTCTTTATCTCTTGAAATTGCTGGATAATCACTGAAGCATTCATTGTTTTGTTTTATTTAGCTCTTGTCTGCTTGTGTGAATAACTGTGATAAAGTATTTCACTTGGAAGTTTGCTCCAGAGACTTTGTCAATGAAGCAAAGAGTATCATATCGAGAGTAAGTTAGCATTAATATTATTATTTTTTTAATAAACTGAAGAGACGGGTCAATACCAAAAAGAGGGGTTCAGACCTATATTTTTTTAAAGCTGCCATGTCCAATCACAAAAAACTTGCAGTGTCGTATTCTGACTTGTGAGGTTAAGATAACTTTGTTCTTAGTACTTACATGTGAGTTAATTAATCCTTAAGGGCTCCTTTTTTCCGCCCAAGGGGTTTGTAGGTTCCTAAATTAAAAATTCTGGTAAGAGCACTAACATTGTGTAAATGGAATGAAATTATTGTATGATGGTCATATCGTAATCATCAAGATCATTATTGCTCAATGTACTAGAGGGCACATACAATGCCTGTCTTTTCTGCCCAAACCACCCTGTTTTGTACTGTAGCCATTGGCCTTCCTCTTATTTTAGAACCATTCAGGCCTCCGACTTATTGCTGAAGTTATAATATGTAAAAGGTAAACTTTACCAAGACCTTGATGATGAAGGAATGGCCTGAAAGTTTCCCCTAAGATCCACATAATATTACCTACAATGTACTGTATAATAATTAGTTATAATTTTATAACTTTTCAGGCACATCCCAAAGTAACAGAAAAACTGAAAGGCCTTATAAAAGAATGGTCTGTGAGCTTCAAAGATGATCCCCAGTTAAGGTGTGTAATTTATTTTCAATGCTTATTTACAAGGCTTGTTTGTTATTCATCTCCCATATTAAACCAGATATATAGTTCATGTTATGTTTCTAAAAATCTATACATGTAAGTAACATAATATTTATTCTCTTTGTCCTGATAATGGCTTATATTTCAGTCTAATACCAGCACTTTATAAGGAACTTAAGGCAGAAGGAGTAGAATTTCCCAGTGACACATCTAAGGTTGGTAGATTTTTTCTGAGCACTCTGTGCTCTGATGTTTTTATATCATGACTGGTGGTCATTTGACAATTTCTTACTACAAAATTTGACCTTGATGGACAAAATCATACCTTCAGTCATGTACAATGTATTTTGTAAGAGAGTTGTCTGTGATTTGGCCTCCAAAATTCATGACTCATGACTTAAATCAGTGTTTACATAGTAACTGGTAGTTATGTGGTTTCAGATGAAATTTTTTTCGAGATTATGTTTCTCCTGATCTCTTATCATAAAGTTTTGAGTTCTGCTTGCGAACAATCAGCAGCAAAACACAAATGCTGCTAATGTCAAAAAGTCTTATGTCATCATGTTTACAAGACTTGTGAACTTTTTGTGTCTGTTGGTCATAAACACTAGCTAGAAAACATAATTACTACATCGACTGATCAGCACTCATTGACCAGATTTTGGACAAATCTACATCATTAGTATGGAATGCTAGGGGCTGAATTGCAGATGACTCTCCCATATTTATCCCCAGTGGCAAGGAGTTAGGAGAGATGGCTGTATTTGCAGGCTGCATGTATTCTCCAATGGCTATTATTTTGACAGTGAAGATTTGCAGTACTTACATATTGAAACTATGTCCAACTACATTGTCTGAATAAAATCTGAATTATGCAACTTGGTTGGACTTCTTGTCTTTTGTGTTTGTATAAAGACAAATGATGGAGCAGCCCTGCTTTAACATTAAGGTTTTCCTTTTTTGTGAAGGACTCAAGCTCAAGTTTGTCCAGTTCACCCCCTCGATCATCATCAGCAAAGTCAACATCCAGTACACGACAAGAAGATGAAGATTTGGCCAAAGGTACTTACACATTGTACTTGTACTTGGATAAAAGATGTTGTTTTTGGTTATTGACTATGGACACTAATATCTTTCCCTTTTTAATGATTCAAGGGTTGCAGTTATCATCAAAAGTTAAATGATAAAAATTACCGGTGGAGAAATGAGATATGTTGTTCAATAATAATTATTTTCAGCAGTAGATTTTGGCATTTATTACATCCACTATGAAATCAGTAGCCATCTGTGCAATCTGATTGGCGCTCAGCAGTGTCATTTACTTCCAAATTGCACCATTTTTTGCTCTAAGTTACATCTTTTTCCCAGCCAATGAAAAAGGAACACTAAAACAGCACAACCAAACAGATTTCAAATCTTGTTTAAAGTAACAAATCAAATTTCAGGTTAAGTGGATGTAATAAAGTGGTAATTAAACTTTGTGTCAACTGTGCAATTTTTGTCTGAAATCATACTTGTGATTTCAAATTGAACTCGCGCTGCTACAAGTAGGTTGACTCCCCTCTTCTGTCTCCTAGATAGCTCTAATAATATTATTCATGAACCAGGGCTAGAACACAAAGAAAATTTAGAATCAACCCAGGCTAAAATTTTTAATCTGAATATAATGTAACATAGATATTAATCATAAAATTAATATACATTGTAATTACACTACCAGCACTACCCTGTGTGTTCTCTCCACTACCACTGCACTATACTGGAGTGAATGTGAAACTTACACTCCTTTCTCTGTCATTTTGCACTTCACCTAAAACAGAGATTTGCATCCCTATGTTAGAATTGCTGGCTCCCCAAGTCAGTGTTGGATAGTGTACTTACAACTTGTATTACTGTATAAATAATTTAAGTTAAAAAATTAAGCATCTGTCTACAGGGAAAGAGTGATTATAAATAATTTTGAGAATTATGTGTTGAGTTAAGTTTTTGGATTTTTTGTAGCAATCGAGTTGTCTCTCCAGGAGGCTGAAGCTGGCAAGGTAAGACACAAGTTTGAACTTTTATTTTATACCGTGATAATCATGAAACTCTAAAAAGTTATTTTGATATCTACAATTTCAGTTAATCTACACTGTGCAATGTACTTTAGAGTGAGTATTTAGATCCATGTGAAATTACAGTGCAACTAAAGAGAGCTAGATCACCTCCTGAAAAAATGAATGGAATTAAAATGAAATAAAACTTTACTTTTTAAGTTTATGACTTGTGAATTTATGACAAAGCTTTCAATGCACCCTTGATCACTAAGAAATTAAGTTATACAGTTTATTAAATGAATATGCCAGTGATTAAAATCTTTCTTTCGTTGTGCAAGAAAAATATTCCTGCACCTTGAGAAAATCACCTTGATGTGCACAAAAACCACAAATGCTTTGTACAGTAAAAGTGTTATTAATATATTTTTTGTCTGGTTTATTCATCAGCCAAAGGTTTCCAGTCTTTATCCCAGTTTCAGTACTCCTTCACCTGCAGCTATAAGAAAGGTAGGTATCCTGTACTCTTACAACACTCCCAACCTCAAAAGACAGTCTATTCCCTGTGTGGCATTTTAGGAAGGAACTAAGAAAGACTTAAGTATTTTGTCTTGCTTGAATTTGTTGGGTTGCAATTTACTGGCAAACAACTAAGCATCAGATTTCAGGATATCCCCAGTCAGGTTTCTAACAAATAAGAGCTGTCAAATTGTTTCTTTAAGCTTCTATCATTGATTGCATGCTGTCTCTGAGAAGCATTCCTCGAAACCAATATTATTAAACTTGTATTTTTATGTACAAATTCTCCAGAGTAATCTCTTATATATATTTTCTCTAAAGAATGCATTTAGCGAATTTGTTTTAAAAATCAAAGCATTTTCCCTTTGTTTGTCATAACCTTTTCACTGATTTAAGTACTGGCATTGTTAGGAGAATATTGATATTGATCACCATTAGGGCTTAAAGGGTAAAGAAAACTTCACATTAAGCAGAGCCCATGAATTACTTGTGCATCAGTTTGAGTTAGCACCAAACATTTCTTTTATATTTCTGTTCAAAGTGCATTATCAAAGTAGACACTTCCATTAATTCTGACACACACTGTAAACATAAATGACACTTTTAGGTTGAGGTGAAGAAAGTCAGAGCCCTGTATGACTTTGAGGCAGTGGAAGACAATGAACTCACCTTTAAGTCTGGAGAGATCATTTCTGTTCTTGATGACAGGTTGGTAGGTCGTAAAACTTGCTAAGCTCCAATGGTAGTGACACAGCCCACTGTAGGCAATGTGGACTGACGTAGCCTAGCATTCATGATTCTGGGCAAGAAAGTGAAAGCTGTGTATTGTAAACCATGGTGGCAGCAAATTGAGTTTTTGTTGTTGTTAGTTTCAAGTTTAATCAACTTTAATTTGCATGTTGAAACTACAGCACCATAGTGCATTGTTTGGAGCAATATCATCTATTAATCTTGGGTAACCTGTACATCCGAGTGTCATTGGGTGTCCTGTGTACTGTGAAGTCGTGTGCTGTCATTTCTACTGTCATAAATGTTTAATGTTAGAAATATGGTATATCTATAAGAGTTCATGTTTGACCAGAAGGTTTTTTAGCCTGTAAGCAAGCTCCCTGGGGGATTCTGGGGGTATCTCCGCCCATCCCCTGTCCATCCACAGCCCCAAGGACCCCCAAGAGAACTTGCTCAAAGGCTATAAAGTTTGCAACAGGTCACATTGCTCATTGTAAATTCTTTCTCTACAGTGATGCGAACTGGTGGAAAGGAGAAAACAGTCGAGGCATTGGTCTCTTTCCTTCAAATTTTGTGACATCTGATTTGTCTGAGCCTGAAAGCCGTATGTATCCTCTACAGTTGCAATCTACATTGTAGCGTTTTGTATTTTTTTTCCTTTGCACTTTGGTGTCCTTATAGAAACCTGGGCTGAGTTACTCAAAGCATGGTTAGCTTTAACCATTGGTTAAGCAGTATCAAAACCAATACGTTGTCAAGGTGTTAAACGCTGGTTAACGCTAACCATGCTTCGAGCAACTGGGCCCTGTATGTTACATTGCCCAGGAGGGAAAGTTTGCATGGAAAATTCGTGATGCATTAGTTGGACGCAAACAATGATGCAATAAAGGAAAGGCACATGACAAAATTTGACACATTGTTGTCTGTTACTCCTCTCATCAAACTTCCTTCAGCTTCGCTTAAACTAGACTGCAAAACAGTCCGTATTTTTGCGTATTCAAGTACGTGCGAGCAGTCAAACCAACCGATTTCTTTACTGATTTTGAGAAAAAAACCGACTGTTTTGCAGTCTACGCTTAAACAAAATACTTGCGGATCTCACTCAGGTGTCTGGTGAGAAAGATCATGTTTATGTCTTTAACGTTGCATTGCTCCATATTTCAGCACCCAAGGTTGAAAAGAAGAAGGTTCGGTGGGCAGATGAGCCGAGGCAACAATCAGCCACTGAAGGTACTTTGGAGATGCTAACGAAATCACCTTTTCCTTTCTTCTCTACCTACAAGAAAACTTCCCCCAGAGCAAACGACCCTTAAAGGGTCTATGTTAAGCTATTTTTTAAAAAAGCTGAAATTTTTTTCACATCAATTGAACTCCAAATAATGGTCCAGTTTTGTTATAAAGGACTATATTTAGGCATTGAAAATGTTTGCCTGTCTTTTGTGGCAGCGGATGGCAAGGATGGCGGACATGGATTGAAACGTGAATGTTATGCCCGCAATAACCACCCAAACAATATTGTAGTGAGTGCTCCCTGGTGAAATTCGTTTCATATCTTTTCACAACTCTTCAGAAGCATTTTGTATATGGGTAAAGGCGCTAAGTGATGACTTCTGTACAGATTGACCTAAAACAGTAATGTCCTCCTGACATAGCACCCTTAAACATATCTTTGCACACCCTAGACACCCAGAAACACTCAATGACTTTTCGCGTAGTAGAGCAGAAAAGAAAATATTTAAAAAAAAAAACGTGCCCATCAACCAATCTCATTACGTCGAGGAGTGATTCAAAGACTTAGCGGCAGAAGTGGGGCTGTGTGTTTGCGCCAGATTGATTGAGTTGTATTTGTCGCCTCCACTAGCCACATGGATCTCAAGTCGCATATATTTTTAGTTTATCACTTTGGAAGTCATTCATCCTCCGAGACCTAGGGGTAGGTAGTCGGGTGAAAGTCACGAACATTGTATCTTCCCGACTAACTGCCCGTGGGTCTCCGAGGATGGAAGTTATTACGATTGCCTGTATTTATATTTTTACCTGTGTATTTGCTTTAGGCTCTGCAACACCTGTGAAAACAGAAATTAGCGAGGTACGTCGAGTTTTTTAGGAGCAAAGATGACATACACTAGTGTTGCTCGGTCGTTTCGATAGAAAGTCGTTTCGACGTTTCGATACAGGTTTATTCAGTTGACGTGTAAATAGTTCCACGTACTTGGCTTAAAGAAGGAAGAGTATTCCCCCAGATGTTTTTCTTGTTATCGCGTGAACTCTACCCAGTTTTGAAGTGAACGAATTTTTTCTTCAATTTCACTATTTAAGTTCGTATCGAAAATACTTGTATCCACGCTCAGAATCATAAGTTTATTTCGTATCCTGTAGATGGGATGTCCACTTGTCTATATATCTCAGGGTATAAAAGAATTATGTCTTAAGGAAGCAATAATTTAGATGTCGTAGTTATTAAGATTTTGTGTATTTCAAACTCTTTTTTGCAAGTTTATCCTTTAAGAATGCCAGCCTTATACCAATGGAGGTTTTTTTTTGTATCTAGGAAAAAATAAACTTGTGCACAAACATGCTGAAAGGCGCCAACATCGAAGGCGAGGATGATGAAGAAGAAAAAATTCAAGATATGGAGGGTTTGTAGTGGTGTTTTCTTTTCTTCTTTTTCTCGTATGTTGTTATCTCTTGCTGCTCAGTCTGGGGCCCATTGCTCGAGAGTCCCGGTAATTTTTCGGGTCCGAATCAAATAGACTGTATTCAAATTCAAATCTAAATCTAAAGAATGTGAGTATGGCTCCTAGCTAACAAACTGTGACCAGTTTGTTTTGTTAACTGATAGTTTTATCATTGTTATCTGCAAAACTAGTAAAATCTCTACCTTGAATGTAAATAACAACAGCTTTTTGGGCCCCTTAGTTAAGGTGGCTCTGTGGAGGAAATTTTTAACTGCAAGCATTTATGTGAAAGCTACTGTGTACTTCTCTGCTACTGTGATCTTTAGTTTATTTTAAAACTGTGAAAATTAGAAATTATGGAACTAATGGTAATTATTATTTGATAGATGAATGTTACAGAATGGAGCCACTCATTAAGGACAAGATTGAGGAAAGCGAGAGGTACGGCAGCTGTAGTCAAATGCAATTTTGATGTTTTTAAAAAGTACATTTATTACTTGGTCAGTTTTGCCACTGGCTAATTTTGTGGGTTGAATGCATAAACGTTCTCTGAACTCTCGAGAGCTATCACGTCCTCTATTGTTGAGGATAGTGTATCCTAATTCTAAAGATTACAGTTTGAGGTCAAGAGGATTTGTCACTAAACGACAGCCTTTTTGTGAAGACTTAATTTGTGCTCTCACAAACGCAAGATTCGCAGCAACTGTGGATTACTGAGCGTCCATCTGTGTGATTGAGTTTTTAACAAAAATGACGACCGCCAACGTTTGACTTGAATATCTTAGTTTTCCTCCTGTGAAATGATATTTATATCTTCCATTCCGTAGAAAACACCAGGAATTAACATCAATGAACGAGCAGTACCTGCAAGCACTCAGTTTATATCAAAGGTTGGTTAAATTCCCTACCCTACACAAAGGGGAACTCAATCAAATTTAACTGCATTCAGGGTGTCGCCTATATACATACCAGGCAGCATATTTGAATCCGTCATGCAAGTAGTGAAAGTTTGTCACAGAACAGATTTGTATGACCCGCGAATCATAGCGATTACTGGGCTAAAAATGGCTTCAGTGTTTGGCGGTGTCGTTGTTTACTAAGAAGAGTTGTTACCTCTAGAAACGTATCGCCGGTTTGACTACAGTTCTAACGTAGTCCCCTGTCCAAAAACAAGAGATGCAAACAATGCACTGAACCAATCACAAAATATGCAGGCAAATACATGTAACGGACGCCAGGTGCGTGGGGTGCAATTGAGCCACGATTGATCAGTAGATTCTACTTCTGATTGGTTGTGACAGTGGTGCGAGACTTCGTAGGCCAATCGCATTCAAGTAATGCGAAAAGTCACTCGTCTCGCGACTTCATTGCTCGCTTTTGCCCGCTTCGTGAGCGTCCCTCGCGCCATCGTCACTCACGCAGTCGACTTGTGGCAAGTCTATGAACTAAAGCGTTTACCATCTCGTAAAAACTATCTTCCGGCGGATAGGAGACGTTTCTGCTTAACATCGTTGGTTTTTGTGTTCTTTGCAGGCTAATGAAAGAACCGTTACCAGTTCCGACGCTTCCTTACGCTGCTAATCCCCAGGGCTCTATGGGAATGTACCAGATACCAGCTTCAACAATGCAGCAATATCCTCAAGTAAGAATCCTAAAAGCGTTCGTGAATTTATTCTTGTTTCTTTTTTATTCACCTTTGGTGGTTTGCTAGTCCTATAGCTTACTGTTTAAAGCCAAACTTCTAGTTATTTATAGTTAACCGAGTGTAATCTTTCCGCTCTGTGCAACAGAGATTGCGCAGTGTAGAAAATGTCTGTGATGTGACTCTTTAACAGACAACTTCAAAGTATTCCTATGCAATGGAACCTCTCTTCTGGGACAACACTGTGCAAGGGACGCCTCCATTCAGGGGACACAAAATTAGGTGCAGGAAAAATGTTCCCATAATTTTTGTATCTGTTACTTATTGAAGGGACAGCTCTATTGAAAGGAAAGGGACCTTTTTCTGGGTCCCAAAACCTAGGTGTAACCTCCATTCAGGGGATACCTTAGCACTCAAATCCTGACTGACCACAAAGAGGGTGTGAGTCATTATGCGATTTTAGCCAGAAAACGCGTTAAACACGATTTTAAGCATTTTCTTTTCCCATCCCTAAAAAGAGGTTCCATTGTAAAAATTTCAGAAAATTTCACTAAGACCAGAATGAACTGCCGAACATTAAGTATACCGTGCAGAAAATTTTCCAGAACCTGAAAGTAAGAAATTCACATTAAAATTTCAATCTGCATGGGAGTGATAGAATTTTAGTGACTAAAACTCTATCACTCCCATGTAGATTAAAATTTAGTGGTATTTGATTTGAGCCTCTTGGGTTCAACCGTAATTAAGTTTGGTGTTGTGGGATTGCATACATTGATTTGTTTGATTAGGAAATAACCTCACTGCTCCCTCGCTCTAGTCTCGATTTTTTTTTTTACATTTTCTTTCGTTATTTATGGTCCCAGGTCTCTCAAATGTATGTCCCGCCGCCGGTAGGCTATCCCCAGGTCTCCCCTCCTGCCTCTCTGCAGTACGTGAATGATCCTAGTGCGACTGCTGTGGTAAGTGAATAAAGTAAAGGACCTAAACAGTTACGAGGTACCAGTAACTTTAGCCTGAGAAAACAACTACACTTCGCGACGTCTGTTCTAGTTTTCCCAGGATATGACGTCTGAAAATGGAGCGCAGGAATCCCTTACTGACGGCGCCTCACTACCCAGATCTGGGAAGTGCTTCTGATTGTGAAAGCAAATTTCCCGCGCGGCACGACCAATCAGAAGCACCACCCAGATCTGGTAGGAACGCCTTAACTGCGCTTGTTTCTCAGACGTCATTCCGCGGGGAAACCAGTGGTGGCGCAGCGAAATGTCGGCTGTTTTCTTTTGCTACAGTAATTTTCGGTTCGTTGTTAACACTCATTGTGACATCCTGGCCATTCTCGTGTACAAAAAGTATTAGGATGTGCGTGGGTAAGGGTACGTGAATGGTTATCACAAGTCAGAATTTACCAACAAAAGTGTCGGAGATTGTAATATACAATAGTATGAGGATAGTGTACAGAATTTACTATTCTTGGTTTTGCAACCACGTGGTAAGGCAGCCATTTTGGGCGTCAATACAACAGAATTTTTTCTTGACGAAGGATTTACATGAAACTGGAGTTTAGTTCCCAGAGGAAAGAAATGTTTTTATTCTTGACCACCAACATGGCCGCCATGACGTCACGTGCGAACCAGCAATATGGCGTCCTTACATGTCGGATCCGTCTTCGCATAGCTTAGTATACGGGACTCATTACAAACATGTTATATTTGTTGTTTTATACAATGCAAATCTGCGAGTGTATTAAACGACTTCAATCTCCTTTACATTAGGTTGAGGTGTTAATAGACCATTTCCGAGCTGCTCCAAGCGTCTGGTTCAATGTAAGACTAAGCGCGAATCCGTTGATATGAAAAGGATTTCTTATTCTCATGCAAATAAAACTCATTTTCACAGGAATAGTTTGGACTTAGCCTCGTTTTGAAAGTGAGGGTTGTTGGAATTGTCATAGCCTGTGGCCCCTACCCCTCTCGACGCCTGCTACGTTGGTTAGATCTCTGACCGTATTCCGTGGGCTTGGGATTGATCTCAACCATAGTTTGATACTTTATCTGAGACTGCTTCAGTTTGCGTATATTTGTGCAATTTTCTTTTAGGGTGCTGCATACTCCAATCAAGGTCCTGTGCAGCCCTACGGAAGTCATGCGCCAAGTCACGTGACATCCTTGCCTTACCAACCCTCTCAACTCAGCCAAGGACATGGTCCGCCCCAGGCCCCTCTGCAACCACCGACCAACTCGCACCAAGGGTTCGCAAATCAACAGCAAGTACTACCGCAGATACCCTACCAACAGATTTCTTACCAACAGGGGGTCCCTGGGGCACCGCCCGAGTACCCATCCCAAAGTGCACCGCAAGATTATTCATCGCAGTACTTCACACAGGCAAGCATGGCAAGCTACCCGAATTTTCCCGCTCAACCTCAAATGGTTTATTCTCAACAACCGTTGCTCTGATGGGCTCTGATATGCTCAGTCTGTCTCTACTTGATTAGTTCGATTAATTTGCTGCCTCAAAATCATAGACGGCACGTAGTTTTCGTCTTTTTTTTTTTGTCCTGATGAGGAAAAAGAAACAAATGTAACACAATTGTCAAGGTCAACGAACTACGATCTTGATGAAATATTTTCTGATAAAAGTTTCTGCTGGAAAATTCCCCTACAATTTCTCCTTTAAGAAAATACGTGGGCATCGAAGGAATCTGAATTAAAAGAGGTCTAATGACCTGACGAATTATACTGGATTAAGAAATTCAATACACTTGAAAGCAACAACAAACCGGGTTTAAGACGATCAGGGGACAAATAAATCTTCCTCACCACAGATAGCATGAAAGCACTATTTACAGCTGGAGGTGTTGGCAATAGCGTTTTGCAAACAGATCAGGCGTCTGCGCACTTAATTATGTTCAACGGTGTGCGTCAAATGAACTTGCCGGCCTCGGTAGTTCAATAGCTTCAAAACGCTATCGATAAACAAGAGAATTACCCAAAAGAAATTCACTGGATAGAGAGATTCATGCAGTATTTCACGTACCTGGACTTGGCTGAATAGAGGTTATAAGAAGTTTTGGACTCGACAAGACGAACTACCAATTTTACCTGTTTTACTGACTTAATAAAGTATGCCATTTTAACCTATGGCGTCGATCAAATTCTCTTCAACCTTATTTGGCTGTTGTTGTTTTTGTTTTTAAAAGTTCCGTTTGTTTAATTTTAACTACAGTTGTAGCCTGCGAACAAGTTGTATGGAAGGGAGGGGATGCATGGCAATGTTCTGCCCTACCCCCTCCCTCTGAAAGCTTACTTACAGGCTACGACTCGTTTGTCATAGGCAATAGAAGTGGTCCCACTGACTGACGTAATTATTGATATTTGTACAAATTTGTTTTCATACATTTTGTCTGCCAAAGCAAATAATACATCATGAGAGAAGTAACTTAAAGCTATTTTGTTTACAATGTTACGTATTTTAGTTGGCCCTTCCACGGTTTTTCTAAATTTTTACTTGTAGCAGTTATCGAAAATCGATCGACGACGATGAAACAAGCGCCTTAAAACCGGTATAGCTTTGTCAAGTTTTAAGGCATTTTTTTACAACTACCGAAGATAAGGCTCCGTAAATTCGCGAAGTTGTACAGACGTTTGAATGGCGTCTTTTTGGGGCTAAATCTTCAACGAGTTAACTACTTTTAAGGAGCCCTTTAAATTTCAGCGGTGTTGATGCCGTGAAAGGGTCTGTTTTTGACAAAGAAGCTAATTTTCAGTACGAGTATAAATCCTGAAGTGTATCGCCGAAATGAACACAACGAAACAGTTCGTTGCTTATGTAGCTGATTTTTTTTTTTTTTCAACATTAGTCATCAAAAGGATTTGTATAAATTGGAGAAAGAAACTAGTTCGGGATTATCCTTTAACAAGGCAGGAAAATCAAGACTTAATATGTATAATTTTATTAGCAGTCGAGTGTAAAATATTAAATAAATAAATGACTGGTTATCGTTCAGAGCTTGCCGCTCTTTTGTCTTTGTGTTTTTCCGCACACATAGGGCGAAGGGTACTGAGGAGGAACAGCCTAGTCTCTAGGCTTTCTATTCTTCCTCGTTGTCCACGCGATGTCTGGGAAAGGGTGGGCTTGAGTCCCTCTGTGACGTGACAGTTCACGGGGTCTTGACCTCGGTGGTAGTGGTGATGATGTCATTTGCCCTTGCAAAATCTGCGGGGATCCCAATGCGTCCCAAGAATGGTTCAATAATTCGACGGCGGTCGTGACATACAAACTTTCCAATCTGATGTATCCAACGCAGTTGCATGGCTGACCCCGCGAGAAATTAGGCTGATTTAGCAACAGAACGGGAACATCATTTGACGACGGCGCGCGCAAATCAAAAAACTGGCTTGACCAATGGCAGAGCGAGAAATTGGGAGCCGGAAGTCGAGTTTAGTCCTTTTCGCGCACTTTCCCGTTGTAAAATGACGTTCCCGTTCTGTTGCTAAATCAGCCTATTAAGGAAGACTCTAATCCTTTGTTCTGATTGGTCACCCTTGGCAAGGTTGCAAGACGTGCCTCTCTTGGTCGCTTTGTTCCCTCGACAAAAGAATTTCTTTTTACCTTAACATAAATCCTTTATTGGCCTAACCTGTTCCAGGCTCCGAGATATTCGGGTCCGCTGAATGAGAAAGCGCGAACGCGAAAAAAATAAAACAGGACGAAACTGGGGAGAGAAAGGGCAGCCTTTTTGCTTTTTCCCGCCCCGCCAACTTTTCGCTTGCCTTTCACTTCCGCTTCTTTCCCACTATCCGAGAGCCTGGAACAGTCTATTATTGGCCAAGCATGTTCGGTCTAGATGACTGCATGGATACTAGCCTCTTCCTTTCGTCTCCGTCCATAAGAAGAAAGTACCAAAAAAACCAATAGGGAGCTGAAGCAAAGGCGTTTTTTAGCGACGCACGTCAACCGGAAATGAGGCCTTTTCTCTTATAATATGACTTGACGCCGCCAAATTTGTATTGCTAAGTGTCTTTACTCTCATAGAGACGATTTGGCCGAAGCCTTTAAGCTAAACTACTGCCCATGAATGAAAAAGGTCCGTTTCCGGTTGACGTGCGTCGCTAAAAAACGTCTTTGCTTAAGCCCCGACCTCACGCTTGGTACGTAACGCATAATGAACGATTATAACAGTATTGCAAAATAAACCGTTGTGGGGCCATTAATTTATTAAATGGTTACTGTCTGCTTTCTCGCAATTCAGCTCCAACACGCTGTTACACAAACTGTTTTACATCATCAGTTTTAATCACTTCCATATTGTCTTTCACAGGCATTAATAAGAAATCACGAAAAAACGTTCAATTTGTTTAATTTGAGGAAGAAAGCGTGTGAATTAAACAGCACTTTTTACACAGATGAACAAACAGAAACCTTGCAAGTCCAATTATTGACTGCACGAGAAATAAGAATACCTCGTAAACGTTAATTACAGTAAACCATAAGATATTCATCTTGGAAGTGACTGAAAACGACGTTATGGGTTTGTTCTTACTTCTAACAGGGTTTCTTATCGCCATTACTTCGCCAGTAAGTCAATTTTAACTTCACTTAACTTTGCGAAATAGATTCGTTGATTACTTAAGGAACTAGACAAAGAACAACCGGTTCATTATACGTAACCAGAACTGCAGAATCAGAGCAGTCACTGAGATAACGACAGAAAGCTAAATAAGGTTTACTACACGGAAATTTGTTTCTGCTGGAAAGTATACCAACGCAAACCATTGACTTTGGATTTACGTTCGGTTAATTGCAATTGTAAAGAAAACAAGGTGAAATTATCGTGCAACAAGGTGGACATTTTTGTGTCTATGATTCTAACGAAAATGTGAGTGCAGTGAGAAGCACATATTTTAATAACTGCATGGTTACCCTGTATCAAGGAAACCCAAGCCTCGGTAGAACCAAACGTTTCTTTCCATGTATATACTTTAAAACGAATCAATATTAAGCGGACACCTCTTTTTTGTACATTTTAAGACTAAGAAAGGCTTCCGTCATTGCCTTTCCCTCTGTGATCGCTGCAGACATGAATATTGGAATTTATCAGCTGGAAAGCTGGGCGGTAATACACCAAGGCTGGGAACTTTGTTTTCCTCTTTTTGCAGGCGAATGTGGAAGCAGATCAGTCGGTTTGCATGCCGATGTGTCCTACTAAAGGTTGCAGAAGTGAGGTACGATATCGGCAGAACTTGGTAACCTTAAAACCTGTTAGCAGTTGTTTTGCATTTGTAGCTGCGCGATAACTGGAAAATTTTTGATGATGCATATTTCATATTTATTCTCTATTGATAAACAGGCTATGGACAAAAAAAATGCATACCGTATTACTGAACACCGCTGGTAGAAGCACAGTTACCAATAAACACCGCCCTCGAATAATGATAACCGTCTCACCCTATCAGATGAGTGCGGCGTTTATTCGAGAATTACCAGAGGAAACTCCGCACAACTTATTCGCAATCTACACCATCCAGACAATAACGTTTCTATCTCAGCAAAAGAAGCGAGACATTACATCTTAAACAGCTTTCTTTTTTACATTTAATAACACTAGCCTGAGAAAAGACCCGACATTTGGCGACACTACTACTGGTTTCCCCGCCAAATGACGTCTGAGAAACGAGTGCAGAAATTCCATACTGATGACGCGTTACTAGCCAGATCTGGGTAGTGCTTCTGATTGGTCGTGCCTCGTGCGAAATTTGATTCAACCAATCAGAAGCACTTCCCAGATCTGGGTAATGATGCGTCATCAGAATGAAATTTCTGCCATCGTTTCTCAAACGTCATTTGGCGGGGAAACTTGTGGTAGCGTCGCCAAATCAGTGTCGGCTGTTTTCTCACGCTAACATAATATGCTAACAAATAATTTATCATAATAGAGAAGAAAAGTGTGACGTCAGGTTACCATGGTAGCGGAATTTTTGGATCTCACCAATCCTTTTTTTATTGAGATGGCCATTTGCGATGTCAAACGATTGAGGAAAAGAATGGACTACTGTTTTGTTCCTGAGTGCAATCATGCACAGGAAAGTCAAACATGTCAATTTTTTATTATTATTTCTGCTATACTTACAGGACCACGGTTTGTTGAGATCCAGAAATTTTGCTACCATGGCAACGTTAGTTAACGACTTCTCCTCTCTATTTTTGTCAGAGGTTTCAAAAATGTGATTTTAAAATAAACACTACCCCTGAAAAAACAAAGCATCGGAAACGCTAAAAATTTAAACTAAACGCCGCGGCAACTGTATGGTGATTGCTCTTTCACTTTAATGTCCAAACATCGGTAAATTATTTTTTTTTGATTTGCTAATACTAGGAAGCAACTAAAAGTTTCCATATGACTCCCTTATGGCTGGAGGCACACGCGTCATACATCAACAGTGATCGTTCCGCATCCGCTTCACAAATCACCTTCAACGCGGGCTCAACTGCTTACGCAGCTCTTCTAAAGATTCCATTGATCGCTGCTGGTGTGTTAACAGATGCAACGCCGCTGACTGTAGAGATCACAGTCGCTAACGACGTCAGCATTGGAACCTCGCATGACAGTGACATCAGCTATGGCGTGTCCGACGGAAGTAAGTTTGTCGGATGGCAAACTGTTGATAAAGGAAATTCCGGAACACATTCTCCCTGTTATGGCATGGAGGGTGCGTCGGGACTGACTCTAAGCTCAAGGCGTTTTGACCCTCAAACCCCTAAACCAAGCGATTCCTTTTACCCTGGCCAGTTTGTCTTTACATTCAGGTTGGACGAGCGCTGGGGCTCCTGCTACACTGCGCATGACGCTGGCTTCGTAAGGACCGCTGGCTACAATAACCGGCTTGTCCTCAGCAAAGGACTCTTTCTGGAAGTTTATAAAGGAGACAAAGGAGAGAAAGTTGGCATCAAGTTCATTAAAGTCTCTATCACGAAAGATTCTTAAATCGGAAATTTAAGAATGGAATTGTAAAGAAGGCTTGAAATGTCACTGTTAAGAATCCCATTAGCTAGCGCTCAAAGCAATTGAAAAAGATCTGCTTAAATAAAAAGATCTTGCTTTTAGATCCAGTCAAGTGTATATGATGAAGTAACCCTTATAGCCGTTACAAATAAGTCAAGAGGTTGTAAAGTATGAAACTTCAGAAGTCATATCCCTACAGGGGCCCGTTTGTCAAAAGGCCAGGTAACTTTTCAAATTCAAATTTTAAAATTAAAAGCTGTTGAATAGTAGCAGCGTTCCTAGCCACACGTCAGGTCACTTTTACTTCTTTTCTTTTAGTTTCATTGTGTCATTTTCAAAATCATTGAAACATTGATATTGAATAAAAACACGGCAAACAGAAAACAGCTTTTTGTGTCCGAAAAGGTAACGAGACGTTCGAGAAACGGGCACAAGAACTGAATAGCTCTTATGAAGAGTATATTGATCATCAACTATTACCATTTCTGGTTCCTCTCTAGCTGACCTTGAACAAGAGACTAACTTAGAATTACTGAACCTTCACTGTTGGCTAAAAGCCAATAAGCTTAGTCTTAATGTTGCGAAAACCGAGTTTATGGTTATTGGCTCTCGCCAGAAGCTTCTCGCGGAAAGCCATAACGAAATAAACATCAAACTAGAAGACCAAGTTATCAGCAATGTTGATCACGCAAAATCATTAGGTCTCATTATTGACAATCGGCTTTCCTGGTCTAATCATGTTAACGAATTGTGTAAGAAGGTAACTTCGGCTATAGGTGCCCTTAGACGTATTAGGCCCCTTATCTCCCAATCTACTGCGGTACTAGTCTATAACTCCTTAATTCAACCTCACTTTGATTACTGTAGCCTTGTTTGGGATGGCTTAAGTGATCAACTGAGTGACAAATTACAAAAGTTACAGAACCGTGCAGCTAGAGTAATTTTAAAGGCCAACTATGGGACTAGCTCGAGCCTGCTTCTTGATATACTCAAATGGGACAAATTAGTTATAAGGAGAAAGAAGCATAAAGCAATAATGATGTTTAAATCTCTAAATGCACAAGCTCCAGTGTACTTGCAGAACCTATTTCACGAACGAAGCACAGACTATGATTTGCGCAATTCCTTTCATAAATTGACGTTGCCCAGGCCGCGTACTAACTACTTGAAACGAAGTTTCAGTTACAGCGGTGCTTTGATGTGGAACTCTTTACCCGAAAATGTGAGAGAAACTAAATCAGTCAGGAAATTTAAAGAGCAAATCAAACATGTATTTGAGTCGTCGGACTCTCACTCGGCAGTCTTGTAAAACAGTATGTCGATAGTTTTTAGTCTAATTAATTGTGATTAGATTTTTACTCTATTATTACTGAAGATTTTACCGAGTTTTAAATAAATAATCTACCTACCTACCTACCTACCTACCTATAGATTTTGGACTGAAAAACGTATGAGAATTTAATATTTAGGAAGGGAAAAGAGGATTTAAATGAAGGGGAAAAGCTTATTGTTTATATAGCTCCATATTGTGCTAAAATTTATGAGAAAAAAACAAAACAAAACAAAACAGAACAAAGAAAAACAAATAACTTTCCTAACTTTTCACAATCAGATTTTATTACGATTTGTTCGGAAGTACGTGAACAAGGGCACTAATAATTTAAACAGTTTCTTGCACGGTTGGTCACCTCAGTGTATAAAGAACTTAAAGCGTTTTTGAGCGACCTACGTCAACCGGAAGTGGACTTTTCATATTCCTGAGCAGTGGTTTCTTGCAAGGTTAGTCACCTCAGTCAGAAGCATATTCTGCCTCAGTCTATAGAGAACTTAAGCAAAAGGGTTTTGAGCGACGCACGTCAACCGGAAGTAGACTTTTTACTTTCCTGAGCGGTGGTTTTGCCCAGATTTTCAGTTAAATCGTCTCCTCAAGAGTAAAGAAACTAAGCAATACAAATTTTATAGCGTCAAAGCATATTAAAAGGAAACATCCTCACTTCCGGTCGACGTGCGTCTCTCAAAAATGCCTTTGGTTAAGCTCTCTTATACCACAGCTTCACGGCCACCACAGGGTACTGATGCGACCACAGTCCACCCAGAGCCATCCACCATTACCTTAGGTGCTACCTCCATTTCCACCGTACTGTTTACCATAAAAGGAATTCCATTCCTGTCTGGTAAAAAGAGGTATAAGGTCTTTCCATTGGCGACTTGTTCCGATAAATATTCCCTCCACAGAATGAACGTTATTAATCAGCTGTTCGTTTCAGTAACACCTCTTCTTGCTTGAGCAACTTTAGATGCACTTTTTCGATTGAGTGCTCGGCAGATAAAGTCGCCTGCATCCAATAGTTTCTCCAAGTCTACTCCCTTTTTGAGAAACAACAAAACGATTACAATCAGTAATGACTCTTCCCAGGTAGGAAAAAAAAGTTCATACTCTACCAGATCGCTTTTCATGGCCCCGCGAAAAACTATTCGGTATTATGAACGGCAACCGCTCGGGGAGGCACAAGTCGTTCACACGGATTGACCATCGTGCCGGCCCGTTTGATTGAGAGCGTTAGTGCACTTAATTCCAGCCATCACTCCGGAATATTTACTTCCGTCTCAGTGGGTTCCAGTCCTCGCTCCAACTTATTTACTTCCGCTACGGGCCGAATACGTGTTCACAATGCACTAAAGTATGGCACAAAACCTCTCTGATATGTGACGCTCCACTTTCGAGATCGCCTCAGCGCCGCTACGCTCTTTCACAGAAATCGCGCCGCCACAACCACTCTTGTGTGTAAACCACAGAAGCGCTATCTGGTAGGATTTTAGTGGTGGCGGAAAAGCTATTCGGTATAGTGTCAAAATAGCCAAAGACATAACAGACTACGAGTGGTCCCTTACTTTCCCTCAGGGATAGTAGAGCGAGTGAAACGCCGGTGAGGGACAATGAGGGACTATTCGTAGTCTAGAGACACAATAAACGTACTGTTTCAAGGCCCATTCCATTGATCATGTACACGACATCTTCAGTAGAAACATTTCCTGATGCGCCCCGCGCATATGGACAGCCACCAAGACCGCTGACTGAAGCATCTACTGTCCTCACACCCATCTTCATTGTGGTGGAAAACAAGAAAAAAAAATACACGGATATAAAACGAATATGTACCGACCTCAAAAATCATTAACAACATTTTCACTCAGGTAAAACCTGTCGCGACATGTTGTGCTATTAGAATACAGTTACGACTGAATTAACTTAGAAATGTGAGACCCTGATATACGCTCATTACTAGGGTAGGGAGAGAAAAAACGTCCAGCCTCCCATATGACAACACTCATCATTTGATCTAAGCTTAGCCGTTGTACACATCGAAGAAGTCGCCTCGGGTTTTGCCTCTTAGCAAAACCGTACGGGGGCACTACGCTATGGTAAAATTTAAAAAATGCAATACCTTTTTGATGGGGTTTATTAACAACATCTACTACCTGAGATCAAAAAAAGAAATGCCAGAGCCCTGCCCGATAAAACGAGTGATGCAATCGCTAGTGAGATCGTTGAAAGTCAATTGTGTATTGGTGCGACACCCCTTGCACCCTGTATATTTTCTCAGGGAAAAAATAATATTTTTAGCGAAATCTTCCGCGATTGGGGAGAAAAAATATGTTGCAAGAAATTCTAGTTGCGGGCACAAACAGGTCTCACAGGAAATACGTCACAGATTTTCTATTCACATGAAGCGTAAAAACGCAGTCTTGTGGTATCATGTAACAGGATGGCGAGAAAGAACAACAGCCATAAGAGAGATAAAGCATCGCGTTTACGGCCAACGGCAAAAGTCAATTTGTACCAAGTGGCCAAGTTTCCCCCTTAACCCTAGTTTACTATTCATAATAAGTACACGAAAATCGGTAGATTCTCGCCAATTCTATCCATAACAATTGTTTTAAACTGTTTTTACCTGCTCATTTCTCACTTCGAAAATTTCTCAACTTGAATCTCGCGTTTGCCGTTTGTCATAAACGCGATGCTTAATCTCTATTAACTTTCCCGATATATTTAACGCGAGACCTTTATTTTGCGGTCATCAATCCCGCCATTTCTGTCTCGATTAGCCTAAGAAAACGGCCGACATTTTGCTTCACCACCACTGGTTTCCCCGCGAAATGAGGTCTCAAATACCATACTGGTGACGCGTCAGTACCAGGTTTGGAAAGCGCTTCTGATTGACTGAAGCAAATTTCCCACGCGGTACGACCTACTGAAAGCACTACCCAGATCTGGGTAGTGACAAGTCACTAGTGAGGAATCTCTGCACTCGTTTCTCAGACGTCATTTCGCGGGAAACTCGCTTAATGTCGGCTATCGTAATGAGGCGTTTTACGGACCTTTGGAAAGGTACTGGTGGAGACCTTAACAGCACAAATAGACAGGGTAGTAAAAACACTATGAAGACCTTCAGCGTCTTCTGGCGTGAAGAGCCTTGATGATGAATCCCTTTATAAAAAGTGGCACTATGGTAAGTGTTTACTTACTTGCAGTGCAGTGAGAATATTTGCTAAAGCTTGCCCGTATGTGTCATGACAGTGGATAGCCAAATTTTCCACTGGTACTTTCTTCAGACCGTCTTCCAGCATGGCCTGTGTTGACCCTATATACAAACAAACCTTTTTTGATGAGGAACACGTTCAAGGCTGCATATTACACATTTATGAACACACTTTCAGTCTTAACATTCTAAGTTCAAATCTGAGATAAACATCAATTTTCTCCTGACAATATCGATACATAATCAAGAGAAAAGTTATAACAATTACTACAAACAATTTCTCTCAACTTACATTTTCAAGGAAATACATAGAGATCAGTCTGGAGAAGTCGCGCGGTCGTCGATAGGTGAATATTAAAAATAATCTTAAGTTTAAACATGCCAGAGTCATCGGTAAGCTTTACTCCTACTTGTACTATACTTTTACTTGTGTAAACTTAGTGTCGCTGAAACGAAATGCGGTCGTTTTGCCCGAAAGTCGATTCGCCCGACGGCGTTCGCCAAGTTATTGGTCGATTCGCCCGATGACATGCAACACTCTACAACATGGTGAAAATACCTTTAGAGGTGTTATTTCAGTTACCCTTGGATTCCACATACACAGTCACTGTCTTTCAATGCATATTCTCTTTTTTCAGGCTTAAACAACGACAAATACGCCTCGGGCGAATCGACTTAGTCTGGGCGAACTGCTATCGGGCGAGCCGACCTTCGAGAGAAACGACCTGATACCGCTAAAACAACTAAGTCTTTAATAGATCAAGTAGGCGAATCGACCCCGGTGAAGACAAATCGATGTACAGGCGAAACGACCGGTTTACGTATGTACAGATGTAGTTTGGTGTTTCAACTTTACCTGGCGTCCCTACACCAATAGTATCACCCAGGGACACTTCATAACACCCCATTTCGAACAAATTCTTTGTAACCTGTTGGAGGCAAATCAGAAAAAAATATATTGCTGAGCTGGTAAGTCGCAGGAATTTTTTGCTAGCGAGAAGTTTGACTGACATCGTTAACTACAGTTAAAAAATAGGTAGACTGCAAAACAGTCCGCATTTTTGCGTATTCAAGTATGCGCGAGCAGTCAAACAAAAGGTCTGGAACGAGGCTGAAAACCGGGGTAAGTAGGTATGAAGTAATTTTAATCAGAAAGAATTCCAACAGGGGGAAGATAAAGGGAAGTTGCTGGAATGGATAGAATGGAATTCTCACCCTCATCCTGACCGGTTCAGTACCAGTCAGATGTGGGTAAAGACCCCCTTAAACTGCGTAAAGATACTTTCAGAAACCTAACCCGACCGTAAATCTAGCCTGTGAGCTCGCGTCTCCTTTCGTGTTCTGCTATTGCATGAATTCTCACGACTCCACTAAATGAAGAGTGTGCTTGCAGGATACAGGTAAATCTTACCAGTGAAACAGCTTTTGGAGGTACAAAGCCTTCATAAGGACACCCCACTACACAGGAAACATACCTGAAGATAACATGAGAGACCCAAGATAATATGACTGGCAAATTTTAGAGAATTTTTGTTCTCTACTATGCCTCTATATATTTTCCAACATGTTCATGTCTTTCTTCAAATTTAAAAGTATTGAACAGGCAAAAAAGGTTAGAATTATGTCTTATTGTCAAGATGTGCAAGCTTAAAAGAAACAAGTTGTCCAAACCAAAAAAAGTTGCCAGTTGCAAGTAAAAAACATTTCATAAATGTATTACAAACAATTACATATGGATACTGTATTATATAATTGAAGTTTACATGTACGAACCCTTACCCTCTCACAAGGATGTTGTTCTTCTTCGCAGCATCACATACAGCTTCAAACCTCTGAAGACTTTCTGATATTGAGCAATTTATGTTCTTCCTTCAAGCAAAAACCAAAGATTCAAAATGCATAAAACATTCTGACATAAGAACTTTCAAAAATATAGTGTTCTATACTGAGCAGACATTTAAACTAGTACTTATGCCCAGTAATGCCACCTTAAAAGCATTTCAGTTAGATTGGGGGGAATCAAACAATATTTTTCCAGTTCTTTTGCTGCAAAAAAAAAAAGAAGAAGAAGAAGAAAAATGCAGGGATGACATATCAAAGAACTAGATGGTTAGCCCACAGAATTACCCCTGAGTAACTTTGAACTATTGTTCCTTGCAGGAATCTACTAAAATCGTTGTATGAATGATGTATTTTTTACAGAAGTAGACACGTTCCCTCCTTGTATTTGACACCCCCTCACTCAGACAAGCTGGCAGTAAGATGTGTAATATGTACACCCCCACACATAAAACTGACTTTTTCTCAGTCTATGCATATTACAAACATTTATTATGTTATTTTTAATGGTAAAAATAAAATTAATATAATAATTATTTATATTTGAGGAAAGTAATAATGTCAAAGACCACAGGAGATGCTGAGAAATAGTATTATTTTTTATCAAGAATCCAAACTTTCCTTGATGCCATACTGTTATAGACATTTTCATCAAATTGGTTTCAGGCATTATTGGGATTAAAGTTAGTCTGCTTTAGAAGGGTACAGTTGTATTTAGTATATATTTTAAGTAATATTCTTTTAAACGACTCACCTACTGAATGACTCTGATGCTGCTCCAAATATGGCCACTTCTTTGACTCCACTCTCCATCTAACAAAGAAAAAAGAAAGTAGTCAGAGATGATAATCAATAATGAGGACGCGTTCAGTAGATATCAAAAGAATGAAACTGAACAAATGAAGGAATATTAGGTTGAATGATTCACTTAGGAACAACAGGTTTCAATTTTTTTTTTAAAAAAACGTTTAAGTATTTTATTGCATAATTGAATGAAAAAATTGAGGGATTTGCATTTTTCTTCTGCTTCCTAACTGTCAACTTTCATCTCCAGTAACCCTTCAATGCAAAACTAGTCTGATCTAGCCTGTGTCACATATGTCCTTCTCCTTAACTTTTGAATAAACATGGCCAGGTATTTGGCAATTTCAAAGTCCTGATCAGTTCCCATAAATACAAAAAACCAAGACAAATGTGCATATTGAACAAAACACCTGCCAAAATTTAATGCGACAAGCTTAATACCACTGCAACCTTCCAAATGAGTAACATTAAATGGTAAAATAATAATAATTAAATAATAACATTAAATGGTAAAATAAAGTCGAGGGTTTAAGAATAAAAATAAAATGTAACATACTGCTGCTTCAAAACCTTTGAGGTTTGGTGTAAGAGCTGGGTATGAAATGCCTGGAATCCTGCTTATTCCTGTCATGACTTGTTTGTGGTCAGCCATCTGTTAGATTAAAGCATCTTGAATTTGAAAAATAAATATACATCCTTATAGAGCAGTTTTCACTTGACTGTCGTAAAACCAAAACCAAAGTAAATACACTAGCCAACCAAAGGGCGTAGTAAAACCAAAACCAAAACCAAAACCAATCCCTTTCGACAGTCAAGTGAAAACCGCTCTATTGCTAATATTTTTCAACGGACACGTACAGACTTTTTCTGATGTACATGCTGCAATATCACATAAATTGTATTTCAATTTTTCTTGTCAGAAATGAAAACACATGCCCCTAAGATTAGATGAAAGGAGAGGAAGGTGGGTAGTGAAACAAAATTTTCACGGACATAAGTCCGTGTTACATGGTTTTTTGCCATTTTCTTTGGCTAATCCTTGACTGAACGGTGCTAATTCTGGTATGGCTTGAAAGATCTCTTCACTCTGCACAAGTTAGCTAACAAATTTTCCTTTACCATTTAAACTGATGATTTCACAAGCCGTAGACGGGTTGTGGATCCACACGGGTGATTAAGGGTGATTCAAGGATGAATGGGTGAAGAAAATAGGAAGCAGTTCTGTTGCTAGTTATAAAAAAGTCTAAACTATGTGGAATACCTGGGGAACCCATTTGGGTGATACAAAACTGGTTGCTTCAATTGACGAGAGACCAGTTTTTGACAGCATGTCAATCAACTTGATCTTTGTTTGTGTTGGAACAATAGCCTGTAAAGATACAATGATATGGTAGAGTACTCCAACTTAGCAGTGCTCCAGGCTCCACTTGATGGTAGCAGAGTCTTTCAGTAAAAATTGATGCCAAAAACTCACTGGGGCTGGGGAAAGACAGGGCAGGAGAGTCTTGTTTTCGCTTTGCTTGTTAGTATTTACATCCCTACTATGCTATCTGAGAGCCTGACACAACAAGCTAACTCCATCTTAAATTGATCCCCCCCAGGTGTAATATGTCTAAATAGGAAGGTGACATCTGCGTTCAGCTTGTGTTTGTGTTTGTCTACATCTAGTGTAAGGCGTTTTAACAAGAGTAAGTTAGTTCGTACATTACGTATCTAAAACAATATTAGGAGGGAGTTGTTGCTGCACATTTACTCGGTATCAGATTAAAGATGTGTTGTCAATCTTATTGAGCAGAATAGAATATGAGCAGTTGAACCTCACTAAAGTGGCAACCTTGGAGGAAAAGGTAGGAAGCCATGCTAGAGAGGTCGAAAAAAGTTTACAGGTACCTCATCTACCTGAGGGTACATTTGTACTTGGGAGACAAGAAAAATTAGGTAAGGCTTTTTAATAGCACTCTGTATTATAAGAAAAAAAAACTTGTGAGTTTATGACAAGGAATAAGGTGCTAATGGTGAGATGGTAAGGAACAGAAGAACCAACTTTATAGATGGAGTCAAGTAAAGGAAGAAGATATCATTTTCTTTTTCATTAACAGCTGATACTAGAAAGGCTAGACCAACGACAGAAAACATAATTATTATATATTCCCCTCTCACCCCTGGCCTTCAGTGGGGTTTATTTGTAGTGGGTAGAGGAGATCAGGAACAAGATGTCTGTCGATCAAGTACGGTACCTTTTCATTCTGAAGTCCATCTCTGGGTCCCACTTCAACAATTTTGACTTTCCTGGCCAGCTGACTAACAGGCTATAAAATGAGATCAGAAGCCACAATAATTTCAAAAATCGTTTTGATCTTTAATGGGTTCGGGATTGTGCTGATCATGTCATTAACTTGAACAAGAAATAAGCAAGCAAGAGAGTTTCAAAAGTTGTTCGTTCTTTTCTTCAGTACCTTGCTGGAGAACTTCTTGAAGGTTGTGCGAATCATTTGTTAGGTCTTTTTTAGAGATTTTTCGTGAACATTAACACGAGGACTTGCGAAAAAAGAGAGCCCGCGATGCCAGGGCTCACTGACCCTGTTCCAGGCTCCTCATCCGATACTGGGGTGGGCGAGAAAAAAAAAACCCGAACAATTTCCTCCCATTTTATTGTTTCGTGTTCGCGCTTTCTCAATAGGACAATTGCACGATGACATCATTTTACTACAACTACCAGAATCCTTCAGTTTGTTGTTTTCTTGTGCAAATTAGGACTATTGTTCTTTAATCCTCAGCGGGATTGACAAATTTCAATAACAAAGCAAAAACGAAATGAATTCTGGTAGTTGTAGTCAAATGTCGTCATCGTGAAAATGGCCTATTCAGCGCACCCCGCACCTTTTAACTGTGCTGCTTCAAGGAGGGCCCAGTTTGTATAGTCGGTAGATTTTTTTTCAAGGTGGGGTACTTCGTAGTGGGGACGGGGTAGGAGTGGTGGCGTGGGGTGATTCCAGGATTTGGGGGTTGGAAATTTTGGCAAGTATTTTTTGGGGGGGAGGGGTTGGCTTGATTTAAGAAGGGATTTTTTTGGTCGCAACTAGCTTGCTTGGCAGGCAGGCGCATAAAGAGGAGCAGTAGCGGGGAGGGACCGAGGCAGGCTAGGTTGCAAATTGCAAACTATGTAATTCCTTTTTTAATAGGTTGAAGAAAGATAACCTATTGAAAGAATCTTGAAACGTGTAAATATTTTTAGTAAAATCCAGCTAGTGGTCTATTATCAATGCTGTGTTCTGATTGGTTGAGCTTCTACTAGGCTATATGTTATAGCCCACTAGTAGCGAAAAGCGCCGGCTTTGAAAACCAAAATAATGGCGGCTGAATCACGTTTTGCTAGCTAACCTGCTTTAAATTGTAAATATCGGTGATATTTAACAGAGCCTGAGTATTAGCATTATAAAGACGTTGGAAGCATATTACAGTTGAAATCACCCATTGATGTATTGTATTCTTTTCCATCCGCATCAAGCTTTCCGACAGTCTTTGAATGCAGAGAATAATTCAAAGGGTGAATTCGGAGGTCTATACCAAGTTGCAACAATAAAGGGCTTACTTCTTGGCTTGATAATTTCAATAGAAAAATAGTCTCCTTTTGACTTTTTTCCCCTCTGCCCCTTCTGCTAGCGACAAATGCCACAGACAAGGATATTTTAAATGTCTCTTCAAATCGTATCTTTATTCATTGGGCTTTTGTTAATGTAACGATAGTATAACTCTTAGTTCTTATTTAAGACAATGCTAACCTTATCTCAATACATCCCAGTCTCTAAATATATTCTAAAATAAACTATATTGTACTTATATTAGTTAGTTTTATTTATAGAGGTGCTTTTATCCAAGTGATTAGCTTGGGCGCCTCCAGTCTCCTACCATTGGTTTGCAACTATGTGACAAGTTGGCCACGCCACTTTAGACATGAGAAGGAAACTGGGCCGAGTAAGCTTACGTAAAGACTTCTGGGATCGTTAAAGGGGACGCGCCATCGCCATTCAGCTATTGGCCAATTTGTTCACTCTGTCCCTAATAACAGTCCCAGAAGTCTTTGCGAAAGCTAACTCGACCCAGTTTGCTTCTCGTTTCAAAAGTGGCTGGAAGGAAACGTAAACCTCATTCCCAGGGTTCTCTCTCGTGGTTCGAGAAAGGAAGAGAGAGTTGTTCTTTTGTTCCAACATGGCCGCCGTGATGTCAGGTGCTAAAAAGCAATTTTCTTTTCTTTCCACGGACGAGACATCTGGAATCACGTTTTCCTTAAAAATAGAGTTTTACTTACTCACAAGTAAAATTATTGGCACATATTTTTTCTTCACTTTTGCATAAGTTCTGGTTAAAGATTTTACAACTGCAAATGACGTATGCCTCGAGACAACAGCAAATGACCCATGATACACCTTGTTCCCCTCTCCCCACCCCCCGGAAAGGATACCTATTGTTTCCGATTTCTTGAGGGTGCTGACGACAATGTTAAACAAAAAATGGCGGGGTGGAGTGGGGGAGGCCGAAAGCTATATCATGGGTAATTTGAAAGTGGTTACTTGAACGCACCCCCCCTCCCCCCATGCCAGTCCGTAACGGGGTTGCTTAAATTTACTCAGAGGTCACCCTAACGTGGTTTTCACCAAAATAAAGAATTCAAGTATGTTTTTCTAGAACTCAACTCAAGGCCATTGATGTATTCTCTCCTCCTATGCCCACACATACACGAGAGGAAGGAAGGGTTATACTTGCATGTGACCGAATTTCCCCTGAGTAAATATATATTCAATAACACATACATCGAATAGTGCTTATTGCATGTGCGAGTGATTAATTCGAACTAACAGTTGAATGACAATGACGGTGACCACGATAATGATAATGACGACCATGTATTACCGGTGCAGTTATGATCTGGACCTAACGTAACAACCCTCTGTGCTCATAGTCACAGAGATTTGTACGAAAATGTCCACACGAGCCTCCACCCTATTTCACGGTGTTGCTCACTGAACCAGATTGCGGAAACGGTCTGTTTACGTCAGACAAGCCAATTTCACCAAAAACTGTCACGGTCCATATTTTTGTCGTAAGATCGTCGGGATCGAGCACCTGCCGTTACGGGCGGCCATCTTTGTTTCAAATGTACCGAGTGTAGCTCGCGGCCCGCCCCCTCGGTGCATTTGAAACCAAGAAGGCCGGGCACGACGGTGACCGCTCAATCTCGACGATCTTGCAAAAAAAGGCACTTTTAACAGTCTAATTTCATTAGATATTTGCAAATTCAATTCTCAGTACAGCAATATGAAAACTATACCCTCGACTAAACATTGCTCATGCGAAGAGTTTTGATCACAAGCTAGGCTCGGAGGCTAGCACATAGGAAAATTTTAAACACGGGACGCAAGACAAACGATGCCCGCGCGAGAGGGCACGCTTCCTCCTCGCGAGTGTCCTCTCTCCCTCCCCCCCCCCAACACACACAATTTTCGCGCTAAATTTCTGCACCCTGCCACCCAGGCTACAAGGTGGTGAAATTGGATAGTCTGACGTCAACAAACATACGGGCTATTAAAAGAGTGCCTCGAGCTGGACTCTAGAATACGAAGCTGTACGTTAGGAAGTAGGGACGTCTTGTTCTTGTTAGGGATGGTTTAGAACAGCTCTCCGATTGGAGCGTGGTTAAGCCAAAGTTGGTGCATAAATGTGTACAGATTGTCACTTAAGGACACCTGAAAGTCAAAAAGGAAACCAGAGTTAGTTTAACGCTTTAAGCCCCCAAAAGTGATCAGCATCAAATTTTCAATATCAATGCTTTGTACAACAAAGTGGTCATGCGAACTACGGACATCATCACAGAAGATGAATTTGCTTGATATTTTATCAACTTCTCCTCATTACTTCTGTAGGAAATGAATTGGGGCAACAAATGAGAATTCAAATTTTGACCTTAGGGTTTAAAGGGTTAATGTAGCGAAATTAAAGCAAGCCTGGAAAGTATATTCGTGATTGATTCTGTTCTGCATTATTGCTCACAGTAACTGGCTTTGATTTATCCACCCCACCACTCTCCTCAAATGGACTCTTTTTCAAGTGACGAAGTCCCACAAGCGACTTAAGAAAGCTTTCGCAACCAAGACGGCGACAGCGAAACAGTCGATGTTTCAAACTTTTAAGTGATTATTACATAACACGTGAAATGTCACGTCAGTCGTGAACGACGGCAAGAAAAAAGTTCACAAACAATGTCCCGACCCTTCGGCCTAACCTCTCACCTTCAAGTCTGCTTGAATTTGACAAAACGAAAGTAACCGAGTTAGCAACAATCATCTGTTAGCCTGTCGGCTAGCTCTCCATCTGAGCCGGGATATCGTGTGAAGTCATGCGCGAGTGGCACGCGAGTGGCATGCAAGAGGAGACGCGAGATCGACGCCTCGCGTGAGCCGGAAACTATATCTGAGGAAAACAATATAACTTGACAAACGTGAAATATACCTTATATGGCGTAGGATTTAAACCTCTGAGATGGTCTTGTCTAAACACCTTGAGTGAATTCTTAACTCGGTCTTGGACCTCCTTTAACGGCGGCAAAGGACTGCAAATCTGACGATTCGTAGGAAACGAATAAAAAAAACTCGTTAGTGACGGTTTTAACATTTTACTTTCCTTCTCAGAAGCTTAACTCTTCAAGTTCCAAGATTGACCAAAATCAATTTTCTTCGGACCATATCAATACAAAATCTGGAGAAAGGTTATGAGAATATGAGTATCTAATAAGTGATCACCTAAGGAAAATGCTTTGATCTTTTATCAAATTCTCTCAAATTCTCTAACAAAGTGTACTGAGATCACTCTGGAGAATTTATATGTGGATATTGGGGCATAAGGGAGGGTTAATATCAGACGTTATAAAAACAACACAAATTACTGAGCTACAAAACGAACCTGGTCTACAAGTGAAAAATGCTTTCACTCCATAAAACGGCCAAAGTCAAACTTCAAGAAAAGTTTCAAATTTAATTTAATGCAAAAGAATGCTCGAAAACTAGGCAATTACTAGGTAAGCAGGCAGAAAATCTCCGAATACCTCTTAGCCTCCCCGCAGACGTCCTTTGGGGTTCGTTTGTCACGAAATCATTTCTCCCCCACGGACCGTGGGGGAGAAATGATTTCGTGACAAACGAACCCCAAAGGACGTCTGCGGGGAGGCTAAATACCTCTTAGACGAATGGAAAGGTTATCCAGAAACTTAACGCCTTTCATGAGCTTCAGAAATTTCTATGCAATGTTTGCTCCTTCGAACAGTTATTTTACAGAAAAAGTCGTTAGGTGTCCATATGTTGTGCTTACGTCGCTAGTGCCGAAAAACCGGGCTTCAGTAACGAGACAAACCAGTCAAACCTCGCTTGACGGACACTCGGTTAATACAGACACCTCATCATTACGGACAGGGGAAGGAAAGACCTTACATTTTCTCTAAATTCAACCCGCTTAATACAAACACCCCGTTAACACGGACACTTTCTATGCCTCCCTCACTGCCCGTATTGACGGGATTTGACTGTAGGTTGAACGATGAATGGATATTGGGCAGTATTGCCGTTTAATTGAGTACCTTGCCTTCTTTCCAGTAGACATGGTATAAAGCCTCTACTTTTGAAGGGCAAACATATGCGCGCTTGGCCTCATCAAAAGGATGTCGACATAACACTCGTTTTCCAGGTGAGGGAGGCGGTTCGTCACATCTCTGCATAAGATCAAGAAGTGCGCCGCCTGTGAAAGAAAAGCACAAAGAAACTGAGTTCTTTGACAAATCAGAATGTAGCAGCTGCTCGGAAGAGAAGTCACCAATGGTGCCTTTCCCTGGCCCCAAACAATACTAAAACAATTGAAAAAATGACATGTCATTGTTTTCTGCGATCAATCAGGAGACACCTTACGAGCAGCTCCTACACTACCCACAAATGAACTTGTTGAACCGAGCAATACTGAAATTCTAAACCTTACTTAATCAGGGTGCATAGAAAGCCATTTTTAAAGCTTGTCATTCGAGCAAGCTGAAGCTAACATGAGCCCAAACATCATTTCAACTAGCCCTAAAGCGTTTTGATGAGCAGATTGATTTCACAGTTCTTCTGTAATTTGAATTCCTCAAAACAATTCACTTGCCCGTCGGGCAAGTTAAGAACAGAATTCTCTAGCCCGATAGCAAAATCCACCAGCCCTGGGCTATCGAACACTACTTTCTTTGCACGCTGATTTAATTTATGACACAAGAGAAAACAAAGAACGTAATGAATAAAGAGGTACGATATATAATATTTGAAAAAACGTAGCATCCGATCTCCAATAGAATCCTCGAAGATTACTTGAAATACTCAGGTAAGCCTCAGTTTTACAACCCACTACTCGCCGTTCTTGGTATCTGGCTATCGAGTGAAACCCTCCTTCTCCACAAATTACTTGAAATCTGCGTAGTTTCCATTCAGTTCTTAAAGTTCGTCTAGTGTTTAGAACACATAACTACAAGAACGTCTCCGAAAAAAATTGCGTTTTATGAATTTTTTAAAGCAAATTTTCAAGTCTAAATTTCTTTGTCACACCCGTTCCGCTGATCCCGAAATTGACAGGCTCACACTTGACGTCATAAGACAAACTCAGGACTGGAAAATGGGATTTTATGCACGTTTGAATCATGTTTATGCATGTTCGGTCGCCAGTGTTGTTGCATCTAATTGCAATGCATCTTACTGGCAAAGCTGCTTTAGTTTGTGATTCCAAAACTCCACACTTGTTTACTTTCATCTAAAATCACGTGTCCCTTAATTTACTTTTCAAAAGAATCCTAAAAAAAATATGTTGTGTTAAATCGAAAAATTATTTTTGTAGAGATTCTCGTGGTGATGTGTACTTCCAATTAAAAAATAATAAAAAATTCTAGGGTTATGGGCATTTAAATCTTACCATCGCCACCATACAAGCGGAAAGCATTCTTCTTTCCTGGTATTGTGACTTTCTCAATATCCTGGCTAAGCTTCATTCGTGCATCTCCGTTTAATTCAACCAGCTGGGATTAAAAAAACAATTTACATATTACTTGGAAATAAAAAACTGTAACGGTATATTCATGAAACAGTAGATTGTCAGAGTAAGGTTGGGGTGGTTAGCTAGTTTCCTCCCCCCAGTCAAATAGAGGATAGCGCAAGAAAAACTTGGTAGCTTTCGCTTTCCATTGAGAACGCGTTCGACGGACTGTTTTGCGGAATGAGAATACATAGCCTTTCCTTTTTCTGGTAAAAATTTACTAAAAAAATCTACAACCCTGGGTGTCTTACAGGTACAGTTCCTTAACTATTGCTGTAAAGTTTTCTACGGTTAAATGACAATGACGTAGCCTGCAGAACAGGCGTTATTTTATCGCGTTTTTCAGGCGAGCGCAGGCAAGCGCGGGAGCGAGGTGCGTGTGACACGCGTGACGGCACCTTCCTCCCTTGTGCACATCTCGTGCTCCACTTTGCCATTTGATATGACAAAGAATGAAAAAAATCAACATCCTTAAAATGTGCGCCAGAACAAAATGAAATTTGAGTCAGAAAAAAAGTACCACATGTTCTTCAGACTAAAAATGACTTCGCCCAAAAAGTAATGCTACCCTTACCTTAAATACACATCCCAGAGCGGGCTGCTTTTGACACGTGACTAGGTGCGTACCAATTCCAAAGGAATCTATACAGTGACCCTGATAAAACGAACAAAAGAACAAAATAAGAAGAAAAAGGTTCCCTGCTGTGTATCTGCTTACTTGGTCACCGACTAGTAAGTGAAACAGTTGCTTTGTTGTTGTAAGATTTGAAGCGCTTACATAGAAAAGGAAAATGATAATGCTTGAAGAAAGTCAACTAAACACTTTTAGAAGCAAACTCCCACGCCTAAGTTCTTTTGGCTCATCACGCAATACACACCAGGGGTAGGAACGCGTGACGAACCCGTAAGAACGTCTGCGTGGGACGCTTCTTCTCACAACTGTTTCTTCAACAAATGTACCAGGCATGAAAGGAGGAATTAGAGATTGAACACGTAAGGCAAAGTTACCTGCTGGTTGAGGGAGAATAGTGTGTCCTCGTTAATGTCATTACTAGCAACAATAATCCTCTTTGCAAACCAGGGTAAACCAAACCTTGATTGTTCAAAACAATGAAAAGTTAGAAAATATCCAGTAAAATAATTACACACTCAAAAAAACTCATACTTGCTAATCTCAATTCAGACCCTACAAAAGATTTGAATTTGATATAGCAAAGAATGACAGAATCAATATCCTTAGAATGCGCGCCATAACACTGAAGCACCCAAAATTTTTAAGTTTTCTGAGCAACTTATAAGGGGTAAACCTTAACTATGAAGTTAAAAGATGAAAAGAAGCATTTGGTAACCTACACAGGGAGTTACAGCTCCTTTTCATAAGATATGTCTTTAGAAAACAACATTATTAGCACCACTATTATCATTACATTATCATTACCCTCACTGGCTTCAGAAAAATGAGTGATTCACTTACACTTCAGCAACTTTCTCAAGGGATGCTCTAATTTGTATTGACTGGTATGCTAAGTCTCCTGAATCAAGCCTTACTCCAACAGCTTGGTATCCAAAATCATGCAGAGCTAAGGCAACAGCACAGAAAGCTGGAATGCCACTCCTGAGATAAAAAAAAAATAAAAATATGAAAAAAATTGGCCACACAGTGAAAACATCAACAATTCTCTCATACAAATAGCAGTGACTTGATTCAAAACTAAATGTTAAAGCAAACAAAACCTCAAACGATATTTATAACAAACTGTACTGAAAAACACAAGTGCCATGTAAAGAGAACGTATTGGCATGGTCATACAGTAGGATTGAAAAGGGCTGAAAACCTAGAACCACCGTGTACAGCATAAAGAATCTATTCCTGAACTAGGTTTACCGTTAATTTGCTTTATTAAATTTAATTACAAATATCATCCCCTGTTTAATAATGCTCAGTTAACAGTTACTGCAAACATTGTTTAGGGCATTGCAGAAACCTGGCCATCATTGCAGAAGGAAAACCTGTGAAACAGAAATCATCAACTGGCCAGTTGTTCAAAGAAGGAACCTAAACTTTAACCCAGTTTTCTTTTTCTTGTGTTCATGATAGTCCATCTGTTATTTTTAGAGAAATCATTTTCTTGGGACAAAAAAATTAAAACTGAAATGCTTTTTAAGGATTCAAATATATGAATTAAAATGTGCACTAACCATGTTATCTTAACCCAGCTTTGAACCAGTTAAAAGAACCACTGTGCCATTGGCCTGTGAAAAGAACCACTGTCAATCTGCCCATCAGATTGAAAGGAAATTTGAAAACCATTTCCAGTAATTCACTGAGTTCAAACAGGGCCCAGAACAAAGATATCAGCACTGCTCCACAGATGTTACTAACCGGGAGTAGATTAGAAAGTACATAATTATGTGATGTATGCTACAGGGCTGTCAAAAAGTTTTTAAGTGGCAGGCTGGCTTCGCACCAAAGGCACAAGTTCTTGAAGGCTGAGGCATGTAGGGATATTTTGAAATTAAGAGTCTCGGAAATCATATTTCCAGGGGTTTTCAAGAAGCATTTTCCACCATGGACGCCATCTTGTTTCGTTGAAATACACACAAGACTGGGAACAATGCCGTCAAAATGTCCCAGGTGTTCCACGACATCACACAGTTCAAACGTTTCACAGATCTAAATCCTGTTTAAATATGTGTTCAATGTCATTCAAAACTGTTGTTAGCAGTTATGACTCATTTATGGAAGAAGGAGATGAAAGTAGCTTGCTAAGGATGGCGAACTAGCCGGCAGTTTTGGCCGGCTGCTGGCCCTTTTTGACAGGCCTGCTCAAGGCTATCATTAACATCAGATTCACTAATTCAACTACATACCTGTAAACATCATACGTATCAACTAGTGCTAAAAAGATATTCGGAAATGCAACAGCATATGCAGAAAATGCGGCAAGTTCACCCATGTGCACCTCACTTTCTAAGACACGCAACACTGGTGCTACTTTCTTCAGCCAGTCACAAACAACTGGATAGAAATCTCTGGGTTCCTGATTGGAGTCTTTTGGTCGCAGCTTGTCAACACGTGGTAGTTCCTCTGGGGTAAATGATGTAATGAATGCGTGTGCTTGGGTGCCTTTCACTGGGATACCACATAACTTGCCTGCTAAAACATTACTTGTACCATCAAATCCTAAAGATAATGAGATTACGAAGATTTAGAGTTTCAAAACTAATAATGATAATGCCACACAAAAAAAATAGCAGATCACTGAAGCATTCATAGAAGCAGAGAAAATGGACAAAACTTACAGTGAACAATCACTGACTTCACCACAAATAAGTATTGATTGATAATTGGCCTCTTTTTTAAACAATGATGTATTATACTCTAATTATTGTACTACATCCCCTCACCCAAATGTGGGGTGTTTAAGTCAAGCTGGCAATTGCTTTCATGTATACTGTAGGTTACATTAATTTCATTAGGAAGCAGCATGGCCGAGCGTTCACCGCATTGCACTCGCAATCTGACAGTCCCAGGTGTGAGTGATACTCTGGCCACTGGCTGAATTTGTTCTCAGTTACCCTGAGTTCAAATCCTTGGCCATACTTATAAACAGCCAATTAGCTGCCTGCTAATCCTGCAAGTTGGGGTTATTAATCCTGTTTTGTTATATTTGAACTATTTGTTTCTAATTATTTGAGTGGAGTGCCGGTAAACTAGCTGGATAAGCTAAGTGCACTGTCCACTTTAACCAGACCTTATTATTATAATAATATTATTATTATTTATTATTAATTTTTTCTGAGTATATTTTTGGCATCTTTCAGCTGAAATACCAATCTTAAAAAATTAGACATAGAAGAAACAGGTAAAAACCGCATATTTTACTGTATACATCTAGAGTATCTTGGTAATGAAACATGTACAACCACAGGGCAAAATGGGTCGGTGCTACAAGATCAGACACTTAGACTTTGATGGGGTCAACAAGACTGAAAGATATGGTGATGCCATTTCAAAGAAGCCAACACCTTTGTCTCCAACTTATACTTTGCTAAACATTCAGATCATTTATCCAAAATAAATGGCACAGAAGCTTAGTTAAAAGTTTCCACGCATGAGCTCTTGACTTAAATTTTCATATTTCTGCTTTTGGTAATTATTGATAGGCAAGATGGGTGTTATATGGAAGACATAACTGTGTGCAACATGTACTGTGATCACCACCTACCTCCAATGTAGCAATATTTGGATGCTGATAAACCTCCGTCAGGACCCTGGGATCTTCGCAAACCAAATTCAATTAAACTTTTATCCCACCCAGCAGCAAGACGAAACCTAGCTGCATTGGTTGCAACTAAACTGATGAAATAAAACAGATAGAGTACAATATTAATATTATTATGAAAAACATTATTATTATGATGGAAAAGCATTGCTGCAAGGAACAATGATACAATAATAATAATAATAAAAATAATAAAAAGTTACTGTGGGATTTTCCTATTCAAACTGACCACAAAATTGAGCACGACAGACCAGACATCGTAGCTATAGACAAGAAGAAAAGGAACTGCACAATAATAAATATCGCTTGCCCATTTGACCACGGAGTAAGTCATTAAAAAACAAAAAAAAAACAAGAAAACATTGAAAAGTACAAGACTTAAAACGATAGCTGAAGTGCCTGTGGAATTGTAAGGAAATTGTGCCTAAGTTAGCAATTGACATTGGTGCCCTCGGAACAGTTAGCAATAGATTCCATCTGTATCTAAACAAAGTAAGACTTGACGGAAGTATGCAGCCGTTACAAAGAGCTTTCCGTTCACTGGGAACAGCAAGAAATTATTATAAGAAAACTGATGGATGGGAATGATCAGGTTGGAAGACCAAGAAAACTGTGCAAAATGGCAATAATAAAGATATGCATGAATAAGAACCTACTTTTGGCTGGCAAAAATGTTCTTGTAATTTGGATCAATTAATTTTTATTGCAATTTAGGCTCGGTAGGTTCTTAATTAGGTTCTTAATTTTTATGAAGGAGATAATAGATGGCTGATTACCAGAAAAAAAAGAACCTGCTTGATCTTGTATGGCTGAAACAGGTTCTTGTATTTTTGGGTATCAAAGTGACAAATTTTTGCCAGGAGATTCTTATAATGTAATCTAGTAGGTTACTAGGTTATTTTTTGTGGGTGCTTATTGTAGTTGATTTCTTGCCTTTTTATAATGATGAGGTGAGTCATCAAAATTTCACGTTTCTTTTATATTCATTAGCTGATTTTTATTCAAAAATGTATAACAAATCTATTTTTATCAAAAAAATATTATTTTATAAAAATATGCAAATACATGTATACAAGTAAATACAATGTTATATACTAATGCAGTTTTAAAGACAAGACAAGTACCTTGCAAAGTTGACTAAATTAAGAAGAGTTGTTTCCATTAATTGAATAACTGAAAGGCAAACGAATAAAACATTCCTTTGTAGTTATATAATAACCTTCATTACTGGTATCTTGTGTATGGCTTGTGTGAGGAAAACTTCTTTGTGCGTGCAACTCTATCTCAGAAAAAACTGTCAAGGCTACACTCTTTAAAAAACTGAAGGGATCCTAATGCTCTGAGCCTGTAAACTCGAGGGCACCTCACAGAGGATTTCTATGAAATAAAACTAAGATTCCAAGAGCAAAAGTAATTAGGTGCAATGGGTGTGGGAATAAGATGCTGCTTGAGCAAACCCTGACTCAGAGATGCCAACTTCTTAAGATCTAAAATCTTACACTACCCCCTCCCCAATTTAGTTTACTTAATTTACTGGTATAATTTACTGGTAGTTTACCAATAATACAGTGTACTACCATTTTGTATCTAAAATGCAGTAACTGTTCTTTAGTGTGAGTCATCTGAAATGCATGAAATTCCACAGCGTGAGTACAGTTAATAGCAGGAGGTATTGGTAAAGGAAACGTTTTCAAAAATTTAGTGATCTGTTCCGTTGAAACCCTTCAAGCCCTTAGAGTGATCAGCATCAAATTTCTCCTTGTAATATCAATGCTTTGTAAAACAGAGTGGTCATGAGAATTACGGACATGATCATGATCACACCAGATGAATTTGCTTGATATTTTATCAACTTCTCCCCACTACTTCTGTAAGAAATGAATAGGGGCAACAGATGAGAATTCAAAGTTTGATCTTAGGGTTTAAAGGGTTAAGCAAACTTACAGTGCAAACACAATGTAGGAACTATCAGCATTGAAATACCTGGCAATGGACCTTCTAATCTCATCATAGGAACTTTCGGAAACACTAAACTTCCTTCTAAGATGGAACTCAGAGTGACTTTGCTAGAGTCAATTTCTTTGAGGAAATTATAAAACTCTTCTTCTACTGTGGGTGGTAATATGGTCTTGAGATAAGTAATGTCTGAAAAGAAAGATCAATTTGTCAATATTCTTCACACAAATGGCCATACATTTTGCATAGATTTAATGAGGAGAACTTACTAAAAATAATAAGTCTGCAGGGTTCAAAGTTATAATGCATGCATTTGCAAGCCAAACAGGTAACAACAATTTTTGCCTCATGCGATCACAAAATAATACTGAAACAGTTGAGGTGCATTTTCTTGTGAAAAACTGATAAAATTGTTAATAATTTGTGCTGCACCCCTTTACTTCCTCAGTGTTTTACTTTCTTGGATTGAACTGGGCAAAGAGGTTGGCTTGGACAACTGAAATGTTCCATTGGGAGAACCAAACCAAGTCTTGTGGTTGCCGCAGGGCAACTGGACATGAAAGTAAATTCCAACTCTGATACTTAACCATACATTGTATCTTTGATAATCACTAAACATGCATTTATAGTAATATTGTGAAATGCAAGCAGGAATGAAGAAGGTTTGGATGTCCAAAACTAAAAATTTATGATAATTATCACAGCCATTGTGGTGCATTTTAGCTTTGAATAACAGTTATTCAAAGCTAAAATGCACCACAATGGCTGTGATAATTATCATAAATTTTTAGTTTCACAGTTACTGTTAGAACAATAATTATTGCTCTTTAGATAACTTTTGTAGAACACTCAAGACAGTGTTTCATCTGACAGCTTGGTTACCTGAAAGTTGCTCTAAAAAACTACAGCTCACATTTCAGCTGACTTCTCAGACATCTGGATTAATTGAATGCAGTGTCTTGTGTTTGAAAAATAATTTCTTTCATTTGTATGACCACATTGTTTGAATATTGTCAAGAGAAAATAGTCACTGCTCACTTTTAGGATCACAAGGATTAACACACTTTACCTTCCAATGAAAATACATGTTTATAAATAAAATATAATTTTAATGCGTTTATAAAAGTTTTAAGATTTTAGCCGTTTGGAACCAAGAGATAATTTCCATGTCATATGATGTCTCTTGTATGTCATATGAACTATTTTAATCTAACCCCCTCCCCACTCCCCGTCTCCCTATAAGTACACAACACAAAAATAGGGTTCCAAATAAACCACATCTTTATGTATGTATTTTGCACAATTGGTTTGAATTGAAACGAAAGTCAACCATCCAGTAGTCCCGCTTCACTTAGCAACAAATTTTAAAGAAGTTCAAAAAAGTTAACAACTTGAAAAACTAACAATACTTTTATATGGGAACACTGACCATATCAGGTACTAAGTTCAACCTGACGGAGTCTGTTCCCATTATAAAGTTATAAAAATTGGGAAATTTGGATCACATCAATTAATGTCATTTTCCCATCTTGTGGTCCTAATCAAGCTTAATTAAGCTTACATTTAACATAAATCCCATTCAAAAAAGCTTAAGGTTATTTTAAGCCTGAGGTTATTTTTAAGCTTAAAGTTGTTGTATCCAAAGGGTCTTCGTCCGAAATTCACCAAACTCAGGACGTGAACCAAGCAATTTTAGTTACTAGCAATATCTATAACCACACCTGAATCGGAAAACTTGAAGTTTCGCACGAAATGCACGCATTCTTCGAGGCCTGCGAAAACGGTGAATTCTCCTTGAAAAGGATTTCTGCGAAAGTACAAATCAAAAACTGCATGGTCCCTGACTTTTCCGCTCTTCCAGTAGGCATAAGCCATGGTTATTTGATAAAGATCGGTTAAAAGTGGCTGAACTAAAGGATTCGAATTCGTTCTGTCCTCCACGGCCGCCATTTTACGGTTGAATGAATGACTCACCCACCTCCCGGTCAGAGATCGGTTTTGTCACATACGGGACTTGCCGTATCATCCCGCCGCGGTGGTTTCTTTGAAGAGTTGTTTATGAAAGTGATGTCATTTTCCATCGAAAATTTACTTGAAAGAGCTCATCACTCCAGCAGCATTTTTTGGTAGCCTATCTGTAAGTAATAAGCCGGCTTTTGCATGATTTCTAGCCTCTTTTGTTCAGGGGATAGGGGCTTATTTCTTTTGTTACTAGTATTCTACTGAGTTAATGTGCCATTGTTCATTCTTGTTCGATTCTCCCGATTCTCTTTGCTCGTCTGGACTTCATACCTACAACTTCCAAGTCATGAAAACTGCACTGTGATTTTAAAGGAGTCGGAAGCAAAGAAAGAACAAGAGCATTTCGGTCGAGAATAACCCAAGCTTATTTCTCTATCGTGCATAAAATACGTGGAAATGTCTTGTTGTGTTTCTCTTCCACAGCAGGTTTCAACATGCTTTTTTGTTAATTTTCTATTTTAAGCCTTTATTCGAAGCTTTAAACATATAGAATTAAGATTTATTTGGTCATTCATTTTCTTGTATTTTTTTAGTTGTTGCCAGTTACACAAAACAGGCATGTGTTTTCTTATATAACATCGTTTATGGGTGTTGCACTGACGTCATAACGTGGAAATACGTATGATAATAAATAGCTAAATTTACATGATCACTTTCAAACCATGTTAAGTCAAGCACACTTAGAAGTTTTAAAAGCCATAGAGCATTGCTGTGGTTAATATGATGTACCGGTATCTTTTTTTTCTTCTCTTCATGTACACTAATAATTTCCCTCGCAGCTGTTTTTGTCTCGTCACGCAACACTCCTCCCCAACAGACACCTGCTCTTATTTGAACAACAATTCTTTTTAATTTATTTATCAACCTACAGAAATGACCAATCATTTATCAGCAAATTTAAAATGAAGGCAGTTTTCGTGCAAAGATCGAGCCTATCTCGATGAAAAAAATAAAAGCTGACTTGAGGGCCTTTTCATTCAACAAAGAAGCATCAGTTATTACAATGAAATCAAAGGATTTTATCTATTTTTAATATTTTTTTAGCTCTATTTTAAAATTAATTGATGAAAGAATTGTGTTTTAGTTTCAATATTTTTAGCTTCATCTAATTGAATTTTGTAAATAGTTTTTATTTCTAGTCTATATGCTATTTTTATTTATTTAGTTAGTTATTATTTTTCTTAGTTGTACTTTACCAGGTCCACATCAGCCTCTGGCTGCTCCTTCTAACCTGCTCAAATAAAGTATGTATGTATGTATGAGCCTCTGTGATTTCCGGTTGCATCAGAGGTGTCAGCCACAACAGGCTGGGTTCTGTATTGCACTGAAGCGAAGATTTAATTTTTTCCATGGCAAAAAGCTAAAAAAACACACTTGGCACTGAAATTGGCGACTTCAAGCTGTACAATACTTAGTATAAAAGCTGGATCAGTAAATTTTCGATTGAGG